TCCCGGAAACGCCAGTTCCCGCCACCGCGGCTTCTCCTCCCCCGGGTCTAGCAGGTATACCTGGGACGGGGTAGGACTCACCCCCGCGATTGATCCCCCGAACACTAACACGCGCCCCCCGGGCAGCGCAAACGCCACGTGGTCCAGCCTCGGCGGAGGCGACGCCCCCCCTGGCGTTCCGCCGGTTCCGCCCCCGCCCCCTGCCCCGCTGCCGTTCGCGCCGCCGCCTCCCCCCGGGAGAGGCGCGTCGGGGGAAACGGTCTGCCAGTTGGGATGCTCGTCGGCAAGATCGATGGTGAACGCATCGTTCGACCGCAGCCGCAGCGCGCCGCTCGTCGCCAGCCCCCCGAACATGAGCACCTTGCGCCCGCCCAGCGCGGAGAGCGTGTGCCCCAGGCGCGCGGGCGGCGCCCACGCCACGCGGATCTCCTTCCACGACGGCGGATTGTGCGCGAGGTCGAGAAGGAACGTGTCGGAGAGCAGGCGACCGGAGGCGGTACAGCCGCCGGAGACGACGAGCTTGGAGCCCTCGACGGTGCAGGAGCTGTGCCACGACCGCGGGTGCGGCCGCTGCGGGGGTGCGGGCGCTGCGGGCGCTGCTGGCGCGACTGCCTGCAGCTGGTGCTGCCGGCGCTGGTGCGGCTCCTGCTGCTGTTGTTGTTGTTGCTGTTGGTGCTGCTGCTGTCTGCTGTTCTGCTGCTGGTCGTCTTGTCTCGTATCCAACGGCTGGGTCGCCGCCTCTCCCTGTTCCCGTCTCACCACTCCCTCTCCATCCCCTGCTGCTTCCGTGGCTGTCCGCGCCTCCCCATCGCTTCTCAGAACCAATCCATCCCCCAGGTCACCATTCCCCCCAGCGTCCCCCCTGCCAGTCGTGCCATCCCCGCCAGTCCCCCCGTCCCCAGCGCCGGCACCGCTGCTGCTCCCGGCATCCTCCCCCACCACGACCTCCCGCCACTTGGGCTGCTTGTCATCCAGGTCCAAGAGAAACGCGTCGTTCAGCAGGCCCTCCCGCCCGCACCCGCCGAACACCACCAGCCCCGACCCGTTCACGCACGACAGCGTGTGCCCCCAGCGGCCGGGGGGCGCGGAACCCGCGACGGGGACGTGCCGCCACTCGGGCATGTCGGAGGCAAGGTCGAGAACGAAGGTGTCGTTAAGGGGTTGCATGTTAGCGCCCTCTCCGCCGAACAACACCACCTTGCTTCCCACCGCACACGCGCTGAAGTTGCACCGGGATGGTTCCACGGACCCCTTAACGGTCACCTTACGCCACGTGGCGGCTTCCAGCGTCGTCATCTCGCGCGCAATCTGCGCCCACTTGACCCGCTGCAGCCACTGTGACTTCTGGTGGTTCTCTATCAGCTGCCGCTGCTGCTGCTGCTGCTGCTGCTGCCCCACAACCGTACTCAACCGCTTCCCATCCGCCCCTTCTAACCCTACTCCCCTACCAACCGCTCCTTCGAATACAACCTTACTCTTCCCGTGCCAGGCATACCGCCCTCGCCGCACCACCTCCTCCGCCGCCTCCTCCTCCTCCGTCTTCCACCCCACCGTCGCCTGCGCCTGCACGGCGGCGGTCGCCTCCGCGCCCCACACGTGCTGGCACGCGCGCTGCCACACGTCCTGGCTGACCGCGAGCTGGCGGAACCGCCGACACGTCATGGCGAGCGAAGCGATGTCTCTAGGGCCCAGGTGGCACATCACTCGCTGCACCAGCACCTCGTCGCTTACTTGCAACAGCCCGCTACACCTCCCGCGTCCACTCCCGCTGCCGCTGCCCCTGCTTCTACCGCAGTCGCTGCTACTGGGGTAGCTCCGCCCGGGCCCTATACATCCCTCGCCGCCCTCCCCCTCCCGCGCGCATTTCCGCCCGAACCCCCGGAACGGCTCATGGTCGTGGAGGCAGCAAGCGGGCCACGCGCTGCCGCTGCTGCAGCCAGCGGCAGCGGCGCTCGTGCTGGGCACGGGGACGGGTGAGGCGTCGGTGGGATCCGCACGGCTGCACGAGCCGACAACTGAACCGACTGGCAACCGGTCGGAGAGCGGTCCGGGCTGTCTAGAGGGTGGCCAACGAGAGGCAACCACGGCGGCTGCTGCGGCGGCGGCGGCTGAGGCTGCCGCCCCCGACATAGGCAGATGCTGCGGCTCCTTGTGCGGAGGGCCTGGCAACGGGCCGAGCTCGACGTTGGTTTCTGCGAAAGACTGCACCCCGACGAAATGGGTAACTGTGCTAGTGTCGCTTCCGCGAATCGGCGCGATGCAGAGGTTATTCATGATGGCACTGCCGTCCTTCCGGAAATTGAGGATTTCCCCGCAGAACTCGCGGCCTTCTGCGATGCACTGGCGTAACCGCGCGACGGTGGCGGGATTCACGAGAGAGTGCGGTCGCTGCGCGAATGCCCCGCGATACTGAAGGAACCGACTGCGAGACAGACGAACCAAAAAATGAAATTTCCAAGGACGTGGATTAATGGTGACGAAGGGAAAAACGAGCGACGGAAGGACAAAAAGCGACACCGCGATGAACGAGACGTTTGAGAATACCAGAAGAAGTAAGCAGGCGCGTACCAATTCCGTCCAAGAATATCTTCCGCCGTGTAACCCGTCAAGCGCTCGAACACACTATTCACATAGATGATAGGATGGTCAGGTTCTAACGCGTCTGACACTATCAGCCCGCACGGCTTCGTCGCCATAAGGCCCTCAATCGTCCGTCTACTCTCGTCGCTAACTCCTCGCAGGAATGACGGCAACAATCTCACTACGTCTAAGTCACTGTTGACGTCCCCGGTTGCTGCTACACCGTCCTTGCTAATGCTGCTGCCAGCACCCCCAATTCCGATAGGTCCGAAGCCGCTCATCCCGGACTCGTCGTCTGAATCGCTCGACCACTCCATTGCCGTGAGTCGATTACACTAAAGTGAGTACAACTACCCGCTTTCGACCAAGCTTAAAAAAATGCTGCGTGTAAATGGCTGACAGATTCTTACCACTACTCGGGACCCTGATGGGTAGACGTATCTGTCGCTGATTGCTGAGAGGCGGAAATTTCACAACACAGATCAAGCGCAACCAGTTTCAAGCTGCAAAAGTACAGCTACTAGCGTCCGAACTTCAGACTACGAAATCGAGCCGACCTGGATCGAAGTGGCGTAAAATCTCGGCCCAGAACAACTTAAGCTTGAATCTAAGTAGGCGGTGGCCAACCATGGAGCCTAAGTGCGGCATATACGGAGAAACAATAAGGACCTGCTAGCAATAGGGAAAACGCCTGCAAGAATATCGCCGATTATTCTCACGGATGTAATCATGGGTTGGTGGGAAGGAGTTATGAGATTACTGGAACCAATAGCTAATTGACAAGAACTGGAAACATGAGACTATGGATGAGGGTTGTTCTAGGAACTTGGTGATAAGGAAGCATTCCCTAGAAAACTGCTGATGAGAGCAAGTCACTGTTCACAGGAAATGCTGACGATGAACTCTCTAGAAGGGAAGAGAAGAGAAGGGAAGGGAAGCAGAATGGTGACAGCGAGCTGGTGTGGTTTCCGCAGGCTGGATGGATGAAACCCTAGCCTTGTCCACTCCTGAACCAGCATTTCCGTCACGTCAGCCTCTGACAGACGTTTCCCGCTTGCCCACGCTTCTTGGTGCAGAACAGCGGTGTCCATTGTCCAACCGCTAACGGAAGCATCTCGGCCATTCATTTCGAATGCCACAGACACATAAGCCATGACATACAAGCTGCCCGTTATCCCTTCAGATATTTCCTGTGCAGCTCTACAACCACCAACAGCACTCGAAAAGTCCCAGATATTTTTTAAAAAAAGTGCAGAATTTGTCTCCTGTCGGCTGCTCCCTTCATTCTAATTGTGCTACCACATTCTACAGCACCGCTCTGTAGTAGCACAAGCTGACTGGCCTTGCCCAGCTTTTCCGCGTGCAAGACTTGAACAGTTGACCAGCCAGGACAACTTACCGCAGCCAAGAGCAAAATTCAGCCGTTTGGCATTCGTGGCTGGTGATGATTGAAGAACTCCTTCAAGCCACAAAACGATCCAGACGCGTTTTAAATATCCTAATTGTGGCGGAGAGGCAATCTGTCTGACCGCAAGATAGACAGATAAAGATACTTCTTGGGGCTTGGGGCACACAAACTGGTTAGATATTTTACGACAACTTCAGGGGCTTGACATGCATTCCAACCACGTGTCACGCAACAGTCGATTTGTGTGGGCTTGACAGCTCAATTGGCAAGCGTGTGATGATAAGCATTTTTCTAACCGTTCTTCAGGCTTCATAGCCACATTTCCACGTCTATAGAACAGTGTAGAGGAATACAATAAAGTAAATGCTGGATATATAATATATTAGAAGGTTGTTGGACTGACCACAAATTTCCTCGGTTCGGTGGAGGTTGGGGGAAAGGCAGGGAACGTTAGCCTCCACGTCACACGCAGCCCAGTGAATGGCTAGGCCCAGTTGTCCGCATTGCGTCCACTGCTTCGCGCCACGTGTCAGCGAAAGACAACCTCCCCGAACAAAAAAAGCTCCCACTTTTTCCAACGTCCAGGAGATACAAATCCGCGGGTTCAGATATTTCTTTTGTAGGGGGGCAGCCACTGGAACCCGAGGGTTTCTCTGTCGCGTTGCTGTCAGACTCCCTCACACGAGAGGTCTGCCTTCCGGTGAACCACTCTCCCGTGCGTATTCGATCTTCCATCTCCTTCTCCCTGCCCGTCTTCTTTCCTCATTCTCCACTCAACCTCCGTCCCCCACATTCCCTCTGATCTGCTCTACTCTTAGCTTCAGACGATCACTCTCTCACTAGCCAGCGTTCCATTCACAGCTCTGCGTTCTTGTTGATTGTAAGCTCTGCCGTATCTGCTAGCCTGCGCCAAGCGTTATAGTATCAAGGCGGTGTAGAATGGTACGGTTAATTTTTGCTACAAACTGTCCGTCATAACGCGTGATAGTATTTATTAGAACATACCGGACTCATGTCAGGAGCCATTGTGCCATCGGCCGGCCAGGAGCAGCGCCGGCCATGCGACGTAGCGACGTTTCAGAGGAGCAACGTGCACATCCTGCTGTCGGATAAGGACACGGAGTCACGCCAAAATGTTCTCGAACTGCTTCGCCGCTGTTCGTACCGAGGTGCGTGAGCGCTGCCGCTTCTGCCTTGCGACAGATTAACTAGATCAATTTTCTCATACAGGGTTTCTTTCTCAGGCGTTTTCACGTGTAATACGTCTAATTTCGTCACCTTGAGTTGCTTTCCCTAGATTCACGACATCCCATGTACCAAGTTCTGTGCCTGCTTCGATTAACCGATTCCGTATTCTTTTATTATAACATCTCTCGTTCCTACATCGCTGCCCGCCTGAACTTCCTTCCTTCTCCAGTGACGGCCGTCGAGAATGCACGACTGGCGCTGCAACTGCTGCGGTCGTCGAGCGACACGATAGATTTGATTCTGGCGGAGGTGGAGCTGCCAAACGGCAAGGGGTACAATGCTCAAGATCATCATGCGCGAGGAGCGCCTCAAAAACATCCCCATCGTCAGTACGTGCTCTGCTTCCCCGCGCTCACGGATACACTCTCCCAGCTAGTAGCACATCGGTCGTGTCTGTCGTTTAACGTCAGTCGGCTAGCGTCAGTCGGTTAACTGGTCGGCAATCGTCAGTCCGTTTCGGCTAACGACAGTCGGCTAACGTCAATCCGTTAACGTCATTCAGCTGAGTTTTCGCCTGGCATCCGCCTCTCGTTGCCTTAACTTCCTAGTTAACTCGTTCTTTTACTACTCCTCACCGTCGCTGCCGCCTGTCACCGTCGCTGCCGGCTCGCACCGTTGCATACAGTCACCCACCAGCAGCATCCCCCCACCGCTTAGCATGGACCTGTTCCGAAACATTGTCTTGTGAATCTTCTCTCCGGCTCGGTTCTCCGACGCGTTCTGCTCTTGACCGGACCTTACTCAAACGCATCTTGTTTTTCTCTCTCCCTCCCTCTTCCCCCCCCCTCTCTCTCTCTTTTCTGCTCTCCCCTCCCGCCCGCCCCTTCTCTCTCATGGCCCGCCCCTTCTCTCTCATGGCTCGCAGTGATGTCGACGCGCGACGAGATGGCGATCGTGGTCAAGTGTCTGCGCCTGGGCGCGGCGGACTTTCTCGTGAAGCCGCTACGCACCAACGAGCTCCTCAACCTCTGGACGCACATGTGGCGCCGCCGCCGATCCGTGAGCACTCTCCGCCCTCTCCGCCTTCTCCGCCCCTCCGCCATCTCTGCCCTCTCCGCGCTCCTCCGTCGACCCGCTCTGCCTTTCGACCTTTCGTCGCTTTTTATTGACTCGCGCCGTTGACTTGTTGCTGACTCGTGCCGTTGACTTGTTTTTGACGCGCACCGTTGACTTGTTGTTGACTCGCGCCGTTGGCTCGTTATTGACTCGCGTCGTTGACTTCGTGCCGACTCGCGTCGTCGATTTGTTGTTCCCCGGCCCTCGCGAGTCCCTAAGACCCAGTACTCATCTCTGCTCCACCCCGCCACCACGCTCCCCTTCGTCCGCGCAGGTGGGATTGGGGGAGGCTCCGCGGAACATGATGGCGGTGAGCGCAAGCGAGGTGGCGCACGACCTGGTGTTCGTGGATACGAGCGAGTCGAACACGGGCACCGGCAGCACGGACCTCTTCTCCGAAGAGACGGACGATAAGCGCCGCAGCAGCGTGCAGCAGCAGCACCTGCAGCAGCAGCTTCAGGAGCAGCAGGAGCAGCAGCAGCAGTTGCATGAGCTGGAGCAGCAGCAGGAGCAGGTGCAGGCGCAGAGGCGGCAGCAGCTTGTGCTGCAGGAGCAGCAGCAGCAGAAGCAGCAGCAAGTGCTAGTGCGGAAGGAAAGGGAGGAGGTGACGGAGGCGGATGGAGGGGAGAGGAAGGAGGCGGGGCAAAACAAGAGGAAGGAAGCGGAGAGACAAGCTAAGGACACGTGGGGAGTGGGAAGGGACGACGTGTGGCGGAACAGAGCTGCGCGGGGAGTGGCGGAGCAGGGGGAAGAGGGGAAAGAGATATATGCGGAAGAAGAGATGGCGGAAGGGGAGGGGGAGGGGGAGGAAGTGGAGATGATATTAGAGCGGCAGGAGCGAGAGCAGGCGGAGGCGGAGGAGGGCGGGCAGCAGCAGTGTGAGCTCATGCTGCTCGAGACGCGAGACGCGCCCGGGGGGAAAGGAGCGGGAGTGGAAGAGAGGGAAGAGAGCGACGCGGATGAGCAGCCGTTGAAGCGGCGGCACGTGGCGGCGCAGCGAGAGGGGGGGGCGGCGGGGGGAGGTGGCGGAGTGGCGCACGGTGGAGCGCACGAGAGGAGGAGCAAGCTCGGCGCGCAGGACAGGGCGGAGCAGGAGGAGGTTGAGGGCCAGCCGCAGGTACGCGTGCGTCGGTCTCTTTCCGCCGGTCACCCCGTCCTTTTATAGGAGGGTCTTTCCCTCCGTTTTCCTCGACCTCTTGAATTCCTTATATCGTCCCAACCCGCCCCTCCCTCCGCTCCCCTCCCCCTTCTCTCCGCCATCTCCGCTGCTCGTTTCGTCTTTCCTGCTACACATCTCCGCTCCTCTTCCCGGCCTTGTCTCTTCCCCTCATTCTCATCCTTCCCTTCTCTCTCTTTGTCGTTTCCGCACCCGCTCCAACAGCCAATGCCTGCGCTCGAGCTCTCGCTCATGCTGCCACGTGTCGCGCTGCCGTTGGACGTGCCATTTGCGTCCGAGCGCCGTCTGCCGCCCGACCGAGCCGCGCTCGAGACCCCACGCCCCGCCATGCCCCCCGCTACGGCCGCCACTCTCCTCGCGCTCTGCACCTCCGCCGTGGGCGCCGTAACATCCGCTACACTGCGCACCACACACTTGGCCGCGACAGCTGCCGCTGCTGCTACAACTGCAGCTACATCAGCCGATGATACTGCTGGTGCCAGTGCGCGTGGTGCGGCAAGCGCAGCAGCAGGTGATGCTGGTGCCGCGAGTGCAGTGGCAGCAGGCCTCTCCTTGTCGCCCGCCTTCCCCCCCACCGCGCACCCCCTGCTCCCTCCGCCACACCACATGCTTCTGCGCCGAGCAGTCTCCCACGAACCCACCTCCGCGCCTCTCTTCCCCGCCGCCCGCCCTTTTCCCTCCCCGCCCCTCCACGCGTCCCGCGCCCTCCCCACGCGCGCCTCCCCGCACCCTCCCGGCTCCGCAGCCGCTGCCACTCTCCTCCCCCCTTCCAGGCCCCTTCTGCCCTTCCGCCTCGCGCCCTCGCCCCCATCTGCGCCCTCTGCGCCCTCGCTTCACTCCCCCCCCGCGCACCACGCGTTCCCCACGCGCACCATCAGCCAGCCCATCCTCCCCTCCGCTTCCGCCGCCCGCCCTCCCGCACTCCGCCTATCCCAAAGCCCGCCCGCGCCTGCGTCCGCGCCTGCTACCACTGCCGCTGCTGCAGCTGCTGCGGCCGCGCCCAGCCTGCCCGCTTCAGCTTCCGCTGCTGCGCGCGCCTCACATACCGCCGGGCGCGCTGCTCTGAGTCGCTCAGCAAGCGCGGAGCAGGCCGCGGAGAGGAGCGAGGCGCAGGGCGCGGGCGCCAAGGGCGCGGAACCAGCGCCGGCGACGGGATTGCCTTTCGCCGGGCGACGGAGGTCGCCTGCACGGCTGGTCTCGAGGGCGGGTGCAGTTGCTGCTGCTTCCGCTTCTGCGTCTCCTCCTGTGTCTGCTCCTGCGTTGAAACGGGGAGGTGGTGAGGCGATGGCAGGACGGGGAAGGGTGGCTGGAAGTGACGCGAAGAGACAACAGCAGCAGCAGCAGCAGGGCAACGAGGTAGCAGGGAGGAGGAGTCCTGCAGTCGCGGGTCGGAACCGGGGCAGTCCCCCTTCCCCCTCCGCCAGCGCCACGCCTCCGCGGACGGCCTCACGCGCAGCAGCGCGCGCGCCTCCAAGCCCTGGCTCGCTGCAGTCGCGCTTGGGGGCGGCGCAGCAACGCGCTGTTGCTGGGCTGTGTGGTGGGGGGAGGGGAGGGGTCGCGGAAGGGGCGGGGGTATCAGCGGGAGGGGAAGGCGTAGCAGGCAGATATGGAACACAGGGGGCGCAAGGCATGGCGCAGAGCATGGCACACGGCTCGGCGCAAGGCATGGTCAACGGCACGGGACACGGCATGGGACAAGGCACGGCTAGGGACGGTGGGGGGGCAGAGGTGAACATGAGTGGCGGCAGCAGCGGCAGCCTTGTAGCCGGGCACAGTGCAGCCTTCTGGAACCACATGATCGACCGCAGCGGCCTCCGGGGGTACCTCCCCCACTCCCTGCCCCACTCCCTGCCCCACTCCCCGCCCGCCATGCCTGCTCCTGCTTCGAACCTGCGCGCCGGATCGCCGAACCTGCCCAATGGAGCGCCGAGCCTGCGTGGCGGCTCGGGCAGCTTGGCGGGTTACAAGAGGCAACTATCAGGGGCAGCACGTGTGGAGCATGGGTCCGGACATGGGTCTGGACTGGGTGCCAAGTCGCCCTCCCCTGCTCCCTCTCCTGCCGCTACGCCCTCTGCTGCTTCTGCTCCCTGTGCTCCATCTGCTGCTTCCAGTGCCGCTGCCGCCACTGCGGCTACTGCCGCGGCAGCAGCGGGTGCTATTGCTACAGCGCAACGCCAGGCAGTACCTACCTTCCCGCGCCCCACCGTGCTCCCACCGGCGCCGCTGCGGGATCGCTCTCCGTACTCCTCTGCTCACCACGCCCACACGCACTCCTCCTCCGACCTCTTTTCTGCACAGCACGCTACTCCCAGCCACACCACTCCTGACCGCTGCTTCTCCACCCAACACGTGCTGCAGCAACAGCAACAACAGCAACAACAGCAGCAGCAGCAGCAGCAGCAGCCTGATTTTAACTCGCCTCCCTCCGTGCCTGCTCTCTCTCTTCACTCCAACCTCGCAGTAGCTGCAGCTGCTGCTGCCGCTGCCGCTGCTGCGTCGGGCTTGCCACCACAGCATCCCATCGTGCAATCACTCGCAGCCGCGGCCGCTGGCAATGCCATGCAGCAAATGCAGCAACAGCAGCAGCAGCAGCAGCAGCAGCAGCAGTTGCAACAGCTTCACCAGACCCAGCAGCAGCAGCTGCAGCAGCAGCAGCAGTACCGCCCGTCTCACCATTCACATGCTCTGGCTGCAGCAGCAGCAACGTTCGCCCATCTCCCCCCTGATGCAGCAGCAGCAGCCGTCGCAGCCTTCTCTCGCCTCCCTCCCGAAGCCCTTGCAGCAGCAGCTGCTGCTGCTGCATCATCCAACCACGCACACGCCTCCCTCCCTCTCCCTTCCTCCCTCTCACCTGCAAACCCCTTCTCCTTCCTATCGTCCCTTGCTGCCGCTCCAGCCATATCCCCGTCCCTGCCTTTCCCGGGAATGTCAGCAGCAGCGCAGTTTCTAGCGCCGGGAGCAGCAGCCGCTGCAGCTGCGGCGGCAGGGGGGAGCATGGGTGCATTTAACCCGGCCATGCCTTTCCCCTCATGGCCCGACCCCTCTACCTCTGCCATGCTTTTCAACCCAACTACTGACGCTGCTTCTGGGGGGGTAGCAGGAGGAATGGGCGGAATGGGCGGAATGGGAGGAACAGGAGGGATGGGAGGAATAGGCGGAATGGGAGGAATGGGAGGTATGGGAGGTATGGGGGGCATGGGGGGAATGGGAGGAATGGGGGGAGGGGTGGTGGGTGCAGTGGGAGGGGGAGGGGCAAGTGCAGGTGGGGATGGGTTGATGGAGAGGCGGGTGGAGGGATACCAGCGTAGGGAGGCAGCACTGAACAAGTTCAGGCAGAAGCGCAAGGACCGTTGCTTTGAGAAGAAGATTCGGTACGTGAGCCGAAAGAGACTGGCGGAGATGCGACCGCGAGTTAAGGGGCAGTTTGTGCGGAAGAAAACGGCGGGGAAAGGACATGGCGGGCAGCAGGAGAGCGAGGAGGAGGACGAGGAAGAGGAGGAGGATGAGGAGGAAGAGGAGGAGGGAGGGAACGAGTAGCTCTGTTGTGCTGGTTGCGGTAACGGCAGCACACGGTCAGCTGCATGCTGCCTTGGAGTGTGTGCTCCTGTGCTCATGTGCTTTGCCGCACACCGCCGTACCACCCGTCGCCCACACCTCCCCATACCCGCCATTTCATTCCTATTCTGTTAGATCCTCTCCCTTTTACCACCTATCTTCAGCACTCCTCCCCTCCCCAGTCCTTCCTATTTTCTACCTGTTCTTCACTCGCTCACACCCTGCCACCAGTGCACTGGTGTACCTGACTTGTGTTGTGCTTGCACGAGTTGCTCTCATAGCTCCACTCCGCGGTTGCTCCGTGGCCGTGTAGCAAAATAACATCTAGCATGCCGTAACATCCTTATTTGTTCCTTTCTACCTTGCTTTTTGCTAGGCAAATTATGTGACCCTTGAGTTGCTACTGGTTGACAGCCTTTGTGTACGGGTACCGTACTAACGTCCTGCTAGACATAAGATGGATTAAAGTCGCATGTATATACTGTATGAGGATTGATAGTGTTGCTACCGTATAGTAGCTTTTCACCATATCCCCCCGCAGAGCACGCCCCTTCCCCCTTCCGTCTGGGTAAACAGAATTCAAGCCCACAAAATGTATTCATCAGAATGGGATTGATCAGGTGTAGGTGAGTGATGGATAATGGTGTATCGGTTGCCATTGTTCCGGTACAGACATGTTTCGGCAGTGTGTCGCACATGGTGTCATGAGACATGAAGCATGGTGTTGTGTCAGAACCTTGCGCTTCTGACAGACGATTCCCGCGCAAACGGCGGAGCTGCGGAACCGCCGTGGTGCGGAGATTCCGAGTAAATCCTCGCAAAACTCAACTCAAAATTTCGCGAGTCGTATGTTTTCCAAACGAAGCGGGTATCCCCGTCGACAACGCTCTCACGAAAATGTACATCCGCCGACGGTGCGGCGGCCTGCACCTGAGCAAAGGAAATGGATCCTCCTCGCCTCTGTGAACTTTTTTCACTGATGGGTTGCCTCTTTCTCTCTTCCTGAAATCCCTTCTCCAGCTTCCCTGAGTGCCATTCCTTCTCATCATGCTCACAGCAGTTCGCTCACTGATTCCGTTAGTATAAGCTCGCTAATCCGAAGTTCATGGCTGCCGCTATTTGTTACCTATCATCAATGATTTTCAATCATAGTCTTAGTCTTCGTAATCTTCAGATATGTTTATCTCAAGGTCGACAAGACGGAAATCACTAATCGTTGCAATCCATGGCTGTGTCTCCTGACGCGAACCGGTAACCTTTTAACCTTAGTCGTAGTAATCGCGAGGAAGTAAACCGAGCTTTACGTCTGATCTATCGGACAGGGACATTCGAAGCTAAGATGTTTCAGTCATTCGGAGCAGTTTCATTCCGTCATCCAGCAATTACTCTCTTGACTGCAGTTCTGATTTCTACTTCAGTATTCAGAACAACTTAGTTTAAGTATTCTAGACATCTGACGAGCGCGGAACAGAGGGGGGTTGCCGAGATGCCTCATGGGTCTTCTTCCGATCTCCATACGCTTCGAATTCCGAGGCGAAGCCGCTCTCCAGCAGCGAGAACGTTTCGATTTGGTGATGACTGAGGCCGATATCCTGCCGGCGACAGCTGTTTTACACGGCGAAGGCAGCGTCGAATGATAATGCGGGGTTTGGGATGAGTATCTCTGACTTCGAGTAGCGAGACGTCGTCATCTAGCGGTGGTGATTGAGAGGGTGTTTCCCGACAATAACGAACGACACGGCTATTTCCAACGATAATGGTTTAGACGGTCAGCGACGGCCGCTTCTGACGGTGACAATCAAGAGTACTAATACTGACGCTGACGACCGAACCGACGATTTCTGACGGTGACGATCGACATGATGACTTCTAGTGGTGACGATTGACGTGACACTTTTTGACGGTGACGAGGACTGCGATTTCCCACGGTGACGTTTAATGCGACTCTTTCCGAAGGTGACGACCAGTATTGCGATTTCTCAGGTGATGATCAAATCGACGCTTCCCGACGGTGGCGATTGGAGTGACGTTTTCCGGCGACGACGATCAGGATTGCGAACTCTTACAGTGACGATCAAAGCGACGCTTTCTGACGGTGACGACCGAGATGGTGACTTCTGACGCTGACGATCAAGAGTGCGGCTTCTCACGGTGACCGAATTGACCCTTCTCCTGAAGCGACGCTTTCCGTCGGTAACGATCAAGATGGTGACTTCTTACGGCGATGATCGAAGCGCTGCTTTTCGAGACGCTAAACGCTGACCATAACAGAGGCGAATGCGTGTGCCGGTCGGAATCACATTAACAGCAACGAGTGAAGCTCATCCGGAGCTGCAAATTGGGCAACGAGGGACGCTCATTCGGAGCTGCAAAGTGGCCAGCAGAGTGGATCCTGCTGGAACGACTGCTGCGTCGCTTCGCTGCTTCTGTCGCGTGGAAGCACTCCTCATACGGCTAAGTCCCCTCACACTTTCCTTCTCGTCTTTACCGCATCTGGTCCGTGTTTATCATTGCTCACTTCTGTACCGCGCTATTTCCTCGATGCATGCTCGAAAAACAAAGAGTCGTTTTTAAATGGCGTTTGGCGATGGTAGCACATGGCACTTGGAAGGCTTGAGCTCATACTAGAGTCCTAGGGGGATAGAGTAGAATGCATCCAAACTCATGCGCGCGTCCCTTCCTTACCTCGACCCCCTTGCCTGCTAGCTCGCCGCCCTAGTGCTGTGTGCTACCATCGCCTCCCCTTTCACAGTGTCACAGTGCTATGTGCTTTTTATCTTCAACTTTTGTTTCTGTTACTCATTCATTCTTGTTATCTCTGCCTCCTTGCATGCGTAACTCTGCCTCTTGCTATCCATCTTGCTTCGACTGACTACTTGAGTTCCTTTTCCCCCGTTCGATCCTCTTGCTTTCCTTTGCTGCACCCCTCTTGTCCAGTGCTTTGGCAGCGTGTGGGGAGGGAGGGCGGGGGGATGACGCACGGCAGGCATTCACAGCAGGGCACGTGCCTCGTTCAAGCAACCCCATACGGCTAAGTTTCCTCTCCCTGCGCCCTTTCCATGCTTACCGCTTCTGCTTCGTATTTATCATTGCCCACTTTTGTACTGCGTTTTTTCCTCACTGCATGCTCGATAAAACAAATGAGAGATGAGAGATGAGCGTCAAAAGTTGTGTGAGAGATGAGCGTCGTTTTGGCGATGGTAGCGCATGGCACTGGGGCGGCTTGAGCTCATGCTAGAGTCGTAGGAGGGTAAAGTAGAATGCAACCATACTCATGCCCGCGTCCCTTCCTTACCCAGTCCCCCCTTGCCTGCTAGCTCGCCGCTCTAGTGCTGTTTGCTACCATCGCCTCCCCTTTCACCACGTCACAGTGCCACGTGCTTTTCAACTTCAACTTTTCTTTCCGTTACTCATTCGTTCTTGTTATCTCTGCCTCCTTGCATCCATTTCACTACCCTCTTGCTTCTACTGACTACCTTGGGTTCCTTTCCCCCACTCGCTCCTCTTGCTCTCCTTTGCTCCACCCCTCTCGTCCGGTGCTATGGCAGCGTGGTGCGGGGAGGGAGGGCGGTGGGATGACGCACGGCAGGCAGTCACAGCGGTGTGCTTGCCTCCTGGAAGCCTGACGCCACCGTCCTGCAAGCACCCCCATACGGCTAAGTTCCCTCTCCCTTCGCCCTTGCCATCCTTACCGCTTCTGCTTCATGTATATCATTGCCCACTTTTCTACCGCATTCTTTTGTCACCGCGTGCTCGAAACGTATTCTCGATGGGAACAATCAAAAGTTGAATGAGAGATAAATGGCGTTTGGCGATGGTAGCGCATGGCACTGGGGCGGCTTGAGCTCATACTAGAGTCGTAGGAGGGTAGAGTAGAATGCATTCATACTCATGCCCGCGTCCCTTCCTTACCCAGTCCCCCCTTGCCAGCTAGCTCGTCGCCCTAGTGCTGTGTGCTACCATCACCTCCCCTACACAGCCTAACAGATCCACATTCATTCAATCTTCAACTTTTGTTTCCGTTACTCATTCATTCTTGTTATCTCTGCCTCCATGCATGCATTTCACCACCCTCTTGCTTCCACTGATTACTTGGGTTCCTTTCCCCAGCTCGGTACTCTTGCTCTCCTTTGCTCCACCCCTCTCGTCCGGTGCTATGGCAGCGTGGTGCGGGGAGGGAGGGCGGTGGGATGACGCACGGCAGGCAGTCACAGCGGTGTGCTTGCGTCACAGCGGAAAGCGACGAGCGGAAAGCGACGTGCGGAAAGCGACGTGCGGAAAGCGACGTGCGGAAAGTGACGTGCGGAAAGCGACGTGCAGCTTCTCAATCCCGCTAAGTTCCCTCCTCACCCCTTGCCATCCTTACCGCCGCTTTACCTTGTAATTCGTGTTCACATTTGCCCAGCCTCTCTTTTCAAGCATGCTTCAAACCAAAACGCCGCCTTCGCATGAAGGTATTAGAAACGTTCGTGTGGCGATGGTAGCACATGGCACTGGGGCAGCTTGAGCTCACACTAGAGTCCTAGGGGGTTATAATGCACTCACACTCACGCCCGCATCTCCTTCTTACCTCGTCCCCCTTGCCTGCTTGCTCGCCAACCTAGTGCCATGAGCTACCATCGCCTACCCTTTCACTGTGCCACCTGTTGTTTAACTTCCAGCTTTTACTCTCACAGTATTATCCCTCTGTTTTGTTGTCCTCCTGTTATCCCAATCGCGCCCATGCTTATATTAGACTAACTTCTTCAATTCTTGTCCCCTTCTGCCTTCTCTCCTCTCTCCCACTCGCTCCCTTCCCTATCCTAAGCTTTCCCCCTCTCGCACAGGGCTGTCGCAGCGTGGTGCGGGGAGGGAGGGCGGTGGGATGACGCACGGCAGGCAGTCACAGCGGCGTGCGTGCCTCCTGCATGCCCTGCTGACCACGCCGCTCCCTCACGCGCCCAGCGACCTTGAGTGCTGCTGGGAGGGGAGTGCTGCTGCTGGGAGTGTTGCTGCTGGGAGGGCTGCTGCTGACATTAACATGGCGACGAGCAGCTTCTGAATCCCGCTAAGTTCCCTCCTCAACCCTTGCCATCCTTATCGCCGCTTTACTTTGTAATTCGTGTTCACAATTGCCCAGCCTCTCTTTTCAAGCATGCTTCGAACCAAAACGCCGCCTTCTCATGAAGGTATTAAAAACGTTCTCGTGGCGATGGTAGCACATGGCACTGGGGCGGCTTGAGCTCACACTAGAGTCCTAGGGGGTTAGAATGCACTCACACTCACGCCCGCATCTCCTTCTTACCTCGTCCCCCTTGCCTGCTAGCTCGCCAACCTAGTGCCATGAGCTACCATCGCCTCTCTGTTTTCATTGCATCCTTCCACCTTGGTTTGACTCCTGATTTCTTCCGGTTTTGCCTGCCTTTGCTTCATTTGTCACTTGTGATTATCTTTCACTGCTTTATTCCATGCCTGGACCAATTTACGGCATCCGGTATCCTTTTTCTCCCTCTCACCAGCCCATTCCGTGGTTCCAGGACAAAAGGAGTGGAACACTCAGGAGCAACACTCCGAGAGCCAACACACCGAGAGCCAACACACCGAGAGCCAACACACCGAGAGCCAACACACCGAGAGCCAACAATTCGAGAGCCAACACTCCGAGAGCCAACACTTCGAGAGCCAACACTCGAGGAGCGAAACTCGACACAGCTGTGGCCCATCCAGCCTCTGGTTTGACATCCAGCATCAGCACTCGTTTCACATTCATGCATTCATCCGTTATTGCTTCAATACTCCTGCTATCCCGTTGTGTCCTTCATTTGCTCTCTCATTTCCCCTCCCTGCCACTTTCACCTCCCCTACCTGTTCCCTCCACCCATTTCCACTTCCTCTACCCATCCCCCCTCTCCCTATCCATCTCACTCCAGCAGCGTGAACTCAATTGGGGTGCAACGTTGTGTGCGGTGCCTGAGGGTGATTCTGCTCATGGCACAGCGGTGCTGCTGGTGAGGGTGATGGTTCCTGATAGTGGCGCTCCAACTGACACTTCAAAGAGTGGAACTCCATCTGGTGGGACTCGCTGCTCTCGTGAGAAGCTTCATCTGGCGGGACTCGCTGCTCTGGTGAGAAATTTCACCTGGCGGAAATTCAGGGCAGCGCCTAACTACAGGTACGCTAACCCCACTCTGACTACAGGGCAGCGCCTAACTACAGGTACGCTAACCCCACTCTGACTACAGGGCAGCGCCTAACTACAGGTACGCTAACCCCACTCTGACTACAGGGCAGCGCCTAACTACAGGTACGCTAACCCCACTCTGACTACAGGGCAGCGCCTAACTACAGGTACTCTAACCCCACTCTGACTACAGGACAGCGCATATCCCTGATGCACGCAGGAGAGGATAACGAACAATCAAGCTGACAACGCTTCCAGAGCAGACCAGAAAGAAGCGAACACATACAGGGATGTCGACTTTGTAATTTCAATGATGGGATAGGTGGGGTCATCATAATCTCCTTTCCTTTTCTGTGGTGTGCCTTGCTCTGTTATATAGTGCAGGGGGTAGGATGTAGTTTCCAGTTTGTCACCTCACCTCTCCTTTAGGTTGTGGCCCAGTTTGTGTTGAACTGAATTTAGGATAGAGAGTAGAGGAGGAGAGGGAGCAGAAGACGAGAATGCAGAGGAGGAGAAGAAGCAGACGAAGAGACATGCAGAGGAGAGGGAGCAGTGGGTGATGCAACAGAGGAGGAGAGGGAGCAGAGGACGATACATGCAGACGAGGAGAGGGCACTGAGGCAGAGGAGAGGGCACTGAGGCAGAGGAGAGGGCACTGAGGCAGAGGAGAGGGCACTGAGGCAGAGGAGAGGGCACTGAGGCAGAGGAGAGGGCACTGAGGCAGAGGAGAGGGCACTGAGGCAGAGGAGAGGGCACTGAGGCAGAGGAGAGGGCACTGAGGCAGAGGAGAGGGCACTGAGGCAGAGGAGAGGGCACTGAGGCAGAGGAGAGGGCACTGAGGCAGAGGATAGGGCACTGAGGCAGAGGATAGGGCACTGAGGCAGAGGAGAGGGCACTGAGGCAGAGGAGAGGGCACTGAGGCAGAGGAGAGGGAGCAGAGGAGGACAAGAGGTTCACTGCAGCGTACGTGGTAAGATTCCTCTTATGCTTTTATTCTGTTGCCCTCCTTCTTTCATCTTGTTCTCGGTTTCCCTAGTCTCCTGTCCTGAAGTTCTTCTCTCGTACCACTCCTCGTTTCCTTGCTGTAAGCTGTAGGACTTTCGTTTTTTTCTATCGTCCGCCTTCCTTGTTCTCCTTGTTCATCTCAGGTGTCCGGGAGCAGAGGAGGCCGCAGAGGGAGCAGAGGAGGCCGCAGAGGGAGCAGAGGAGGCCGCAGAGGGAGCAGAGGAGGCCGTAGAGGGAGCAGAGGAGGCCGTAGAGGGAGCAGAGGAGGCCGTAGAGGGAGCAGACGAGCGGGAGAAGAGATACAGGAGCAGATATGAGGGAAACGATTTGTGGTGTGGTGAGTCGTCTCTGACAGATCCCATTTCTTCGTAATCAATGTGGCCTGCTCCTTTGATCCTCTACACATCGCTGGACGTTATGCTTCACTCTCACCTTTCTGTCAATCTCCTCATCTGAAATGCCTCCTTGCCTCCCACTCTCTTAATTGCACCCCCCCCCCCGAGTCCCCTCTGTGTGACTGCACCTTCACCCTTTTCTCTCTCTACTTCCTTCCCTGTCACCGCTCTTCCTTTCCCTGTCGGTCTTCCATTAGGCGAGGACACCAAGGTGAGACAGCAAGTGGGGAGCTGAAGGGAACACAAGGGGCAGCACATGATGTGGTAAGGTCCTCGTGCTGCTCGTCAGTTTAGTCTCCCTTGCCACTCGTTTTCTGTCCGAGACAGCAACGGTGAAGCGGCATGCGCATGTTGCATGCTAAGAACTTCATCGCGGCTCTTTCATTTCCTCTTTTGATCCTCTCCACATTTCCTTGTGTCGACTAGGCAGCCCTCTCTCTTTCTTCTTTCAAAGTCATCACTGCCTCATACCTTCCTTGTCTCCTTCTCCCCTGCCTTTCATTCTGCAGTCGAACAAGGGGCTAATCAACTGATCCCTCTTTCCGTGGTACGTTCCTCATCCCCTCCCATCCCTCATCCCCTCCCATCCCTCATCCCCTCCCATCCCTCATCCCCTCCTATCCCTCATCCCCTCCCATCCCTCATCCCCTCCCATCCCTCATCCCCTCCTATCCCTCATCCTCTCCCATCCCTCACCCCCTCCTATCCCTCATCCCCTCCCATCCCTCATCCCCTCCCATCCCTCATCCCCTCCCATCCCTCATCCCCTCCTATCCCTCATCCCCTCCCATCCCTCATCCCCTCCCATCCCTCATCCCCTCCCATCCCTCATCCCCTCCCATCCCTCATCCCCTCCTATCCCTCATCCCCTCCCATCCCTCATCTCCTCAAAGCTCTATGCTCGGTCAACTCTCGCTTTCTTCCTTCCCGCTTCGTCACGCCACCTTTTCTTCTCTCGTATCCTCCTGCGCCGCCATCTTACAAGCAGGCACGGCAATGGTGGCATGGGACGGACTACAGGCGAGGTCAGGTCAATCAGGTCGTCTTCTTATGGTAGTGCTGCTCACTCAACGCTCCTCTCCTCTGCCCCCAATTTCCCTTTGCCGGCCTCTTTGTTGGATTTCCTCTGCATTTCTTGTTTCTTTTACCATCGCTCCTCTATATTCAGATGCCTTACTGCTCGGCTCTTCCTCTCGTCTTTGTTCACATACCTTTTCCCCTCGCGTCTCCTTCTGCAGGTGTGATCAGCAGTAGTGGGCGGAGCAACACTCTGGCAGCAACATTCGAGCACGAGGATGCACAAGAATAGCACGTGCTTTGAGGCTTTTTCTTGTGGTGGGTTTCTGTACCCACCCCTTTGTCTTCTGCACCACACTTGCATGGCACGCCAATACCCCTTCCAACCCCACACTTCCTGTCCATGTCTCACAGTCCTTAGCCTTCCATGCCCGTTTCTTTCTCTGCCCAGCAACACAATTCCACTGTCGCTGTTTTTAGGAACCATAAGCTTCATCCTTAGCCTTCCACATGCTCGGTTTTCTTTCATGACCTTGCAATTTTTTCTTCCTCTCTCATGTGCCAATCTCTCTCTCACTGCTTCTATTTGTGTGTGTTGTTGACATGACAGGATTGGACTGGTGAGGCAGGGGTGGAGCGTAAGCACTGGAACGAACTGGAGAGCAAGGTAGTGGAACCAACTGGAGTGGTCAGCTGGTGAAGAGATTACCGTTGTACGCGAAGGTGAGAATACAACAACTGAACACAGACTGAACCCCGGAAACGCCATGTCATATCATACCATCGTATTATCTACATTGTGTAGGTATCCAAATCCTGTAAATCGTGTGCCTGTGCCCAAATCGAACAACACCCATCTTTTCACATCAGGCACAACTCTTGTCTGCATTGCTTCCTCCTCTCGTCGTCTGCTTGCAGGGCAACTAAAGACGATCTGTTTGGAAGTCAAGCCGGAGGATGAAGACCACATATGCCAGAGCTGAAGCAAGTAGGATAGGATAAGATAGGTTATGTAGGCTGGTAACACCCTCAGGTGTGGTATCCCCCCCCCCTCTCCCCCTTGACCCCCGAAAACCCAACCACCCCCCCCCCCCCCCACCCTCCTTAATGTTTCCCCCCTGTCCCGCACCCTCCCCTCCCGCTGCGTAGGACCCACCCCCCCCCCCCCCTCACCTCCCCCCCGGATAGCTCCTTCGCGTTCCTCCCCCTGCAACCCACCTCATTTTCGACCCACCTCCCCATGGGACCCACCTCAGCAACCCCCACGTAGGCCAGGCACAGGGCTAACCACAGGGCTAGCCACAGGGCTAACCACAGGGCTAATCACGGCTAACCACAGGGCTAATCACAGGTCTAAACACAGGGAAAATCACAGGTCTAACAACAGGCGTAACCACAGGGCTAACCACAGGACTAACCACAGGGCTAGTCACCGGGCTAATCGCAGGGCTAACCACAAGGCTACCACATGGCTAGTCACATGGCCAATCACAGGGCTAATTGCAGAGCTAACCACAGAGTTAACCACAAGGCTAATCTCAGGGCTAACCACAGTGCTAGTCACAGGGCTAACAACAGGGCTATTCACAGGGCTAACCACAGGGCTACTCACATGACCACAGGTTTAATCACAGGGCCAACCGCGGTGCTAACCACAGGGCTAACCACAGGGCTAGTCTCAGGGGCCATCCACAGGGTTAATCAAAGCGCTCGTGCCTACGGCATGCTAATCACAGAGTTGTGCCTCAAGGCATGCTACTAGTAAGTCCCCCTGAGTACTCTGCACATCTTTTCATATACGGTATAAAGCGTAATACCGTCATACCCCGGATATACCCCCATGGGGGGCAATAATAAAGCAGATTTTTTTAGGGGGGTGGGCTTATGCTCGAGTAAATTTTTAAGCGCCGGCGTTTATAAAAGTACATATATGTTTTTTTTATATTTTTTAATACCAAACTGTAGATCTCGTGCTTGCCTTTTCAATCGAGTCGAAGTTTCATGGGGTCGTCTGTGAAATTCTCGCGCGCGCAGGGAGATACACCCAATCTGACTCACATCCAGCTCCTGACAGCTCCTGACAGCTCCTGCTGACTGGACCCGCATCCAGTGCAGGGTCCGAATGTGAAGGGAACCGAATCTGCAACACATCCGCCTGCTAAAGTAAAACTCGTTACAGCGTTTTGAACAATTTTCAAAATTTAAAGTCTACCTGCGCTTATAATAAAACAAGTTTTTTCAGGGGGTGCGCTTATGATCGAGCAGGGGATATGAGCGCCACACGCCAATTAAAAGCGCCAGGCGCTTATCCGAGGGTGGCGCTTATATCCGGGGTATGACGGTACCGGTATTCTGATGCTTCGCATGTCCACGTCGTACAAGCATCTTTGGCGCTCAGTTACTACACAGATGGAACTACATATGATACCATGCTCCCAGTCACACAAGACATATCACCACGTTGAGAACATGTACAGTAGTTACATAAGTTGGACTAGAACAATAGGTTACTAGACACACGAATTTACGGGTAGCTGATGGCACTTCAGCCAAGAACCACTTGTTAGCTCTGCTCTATGCTGGATGATCAACCATGCTAGCAGGGCAGCTCCAGCCTTGTCAGCTTCTATATGCTATTGCCTGTGACCCCTTAGCCTGGGCCGCACAATGCATTCACTGATGTCACGAGAGCAGCTGGAGCAGCTCACCAGGAGAGCTCTGCTTGCCGTGAACACCATCATGCGCAGACGGGAAAGTGTTGCTGTGCTGCTGATGCATCCCCTCCTCGATCCCAGATCTGCAAAGGGACCGCCACGGGTTGCCTGCAACACCTGGTGCGGGAAACGAGGCTGGTGGGTAGAAATCTGGCGCCTCTATTGTAGCATGCGAGTCTAGTGATTCCGACCCTGCCCTTGCTCCTGCGGCGCTGCTGCCTCCCATGGCCTGGTCTGGCCGGAGCTGCAGGTTCGGCGAGACGAATTGCGGCGAGCCTGAGGTTGGGGCATGCATGAGTTTTGGTCGTCTGGCCACTGGCGCCAGCAGCAGTGCGCCGTTCTCCTCGGGGCCTCTGCTGCTCTTGGACCCGCTCAGCCCACTCGGTCTGCTCCCACTGACGCCACTGGCCATGGGGGACAGACAGCTGGCAGGGCTCTCCGTGCGCTCTGGTGCCGCCCGCGCGCCGCCCGCTGCTGCTGCCAGTGCGGCTGGGCTTTTGTGGGTCTCCATTGCTGATGGAACAGCAGGTGGCGTGCATGGTCTGAGACGCTGCTGCTTCTCGCTCTCTGCTTGCTGCTGCTGCTGCTGTTGCTGTTGCTGCTGCTGCGGTGCAGCACTCACCGGCTGCTGTTGATGTGTTGGGGTTGAATAGGCAACAGCGCATGGAGCACCACCAGTTGCTACCTGTCCGAACGTCATTGGCTGGAAGCCAGCCATTGAAAACCCGGAAATCTGAGCTGGCGGTGGCGGCGTTGCAACCATCATCACTCCGCCAGGCGCCGCGCTGGGAAAGGTGGATGTTGGGGCGGTAGTGACGTGGGCGGCCGGCCAATAGGAGATCATCTGACCAGGCGCGACCATCGGCTGGCCGGCAGACATGACGGTAGCGGCAGCGGCTGGCCCGGAAACGGCGGCACTGGGTTGGTAAATGCCGTGTGCGGTATACAGGTTGTGTAGATGCGTCATCTGCTGTTGCTGGTGCTGTTGCTGCTGCTGTTGTTGCTGAAGCTGCACGTACTGCTGCTGCTGCTGCTGCTGCTGCTGCTGCTGCTGCTGCTGCTGCTGCTGCTGCTGCTGCTGCTGCTGCTGCTGTTGCTGCTGCTGTTGCATCAATTGCTGTGAAAGGTAGCTCCTCGCAGACCCGCCCATGAGCGGCCCACTCACACCCCCTGCAGCGCCAGGTAAGGCGGGGAGCGCGGACGCGGTCGCGGGCAGTCCGCCACGTGGCCTCAGGACGCCCATGGCCCCAGGAAAGAACGGCGCGCCGCCGGGAAACACGGACGGCGGGAACGCGGAAGGTGCAGCGGAGTTTCCGACCATCATTACAGGCCCTGCTGACGTCACCATGGTGGGAGTAGGGAGAGAACAAGCCGCTACGATCGGCCGGACAGTGGGAGTGGGGAACTGGGGAGCTGGAGGATTGGTCGGGACGGCTGGAGAGGAAGAGTCAGATATCGACTTTATTGACCCTCCGCGGAGCACGGCGTCGACCGCGGCCTCGCAGAAATGCCACTGGCCCGTCCAGAGCAGTCCCGAAGCGCCGTAAACGGGATTAATGGTGCGGCCGCACGCCTCGAAGAGCAGCGACTGGAAGAGCGCGGGCCGTTGGATCTCCTCGACTCCCGAGATGAACCCCATGAGGCCCGCGCGGCCGTAAAACTTGGCGAGGAAGAGCGTTGCGTGGCCCTGCGCCTCCGCGCCGTCGATCCCCGCGAGGCAGTGGCGGATCACGCAGCTCTCGCTGCATCCTTTTCGTAACACGCGACAGCCGTTGCAGCTCATGGCGATGGCTTAACGAGCCGCTGTTGAGTGATATACAAATTCTGAAAAGAATTTGATTTACAAAATGGGAAACCTTCGTTCTCACAGCAATCTCTGGAGCGCCAATCAACAAAGTGCAATTGGAACTGGCTCAAACATCTGCTTTATCCCTTCTGGACGTCAGAGGAACTTAGTCATTATGGTGGAGTCGCTCTGTAGTCACGGGTTCTCATGTAAATAAACGCGGGCGGGAAGAGGATGAGTGGACCAGATAAAGTGTAGGAGGAGCACACGAAGCAGCAACAACCTCACTGGTGGGGGACACAGCGATCACTAAGAGCGCGCGAACTACTTGGAGAGCAGATCTATCGTCACGCTCGGGGTCGCTGCCTGCCTGTTTTCAGCCAAGCCGAGCCGCGTCACTTTTGTAGATCTCCCAGGCACGCCAATGAACAATCCGTGGATGAAATGACGCCGTCCCTAAAGCTGATCAGACCAGGTTAGGAAGGTCCGCGCAGACGTGGCAGAGGCTCTGCTGAAGCTTGTTGCTGGTTCGGCAAAGTTGGTACAGTAAAGTTCGTCGCTGCTTTTGCCCTGGCAGCTTGGATAAGATATTTGCTGTGCATCAATTGTGAAATCCATGCCGAAGCTGAGCAGTGAGCACCATTGATGAGCACATCTGACTCATGAAGTATCTTCCTAAGTGAGGAACAGAAACGTCAGCCCAACACATTTCCACGTAGAACAGGTCTTTCACTTACTCATAAAGAAGGCTCACCACCGAGGCTTCCGATTCGCGGCGTCGCCCCTACGGTTATTTACCTTCCAACACCGCACCTAAAGCAGGTGAGCCTTATCCTATGACTCATTGATGACATGGATGACGCACGCAACGCATTGCACTCTCCAACGTTTTCGGGAACCGTATGGGAGGCTTCAATCCGATTGGAGAGCAACGCCGACCTCGCCACGCCATGTCACTCCGTGATGTGTTGATTGCTCCACTGGCGCGGACAGACTGTCCACAAAATGGTTTGGAAACATTTATGTGGACACGCAAGGACGATGTTTGTGAATCGTGAGCGAAAAACTACAGCGGCTGTATTTTGTTCTCTCGTGGCTTTCCTAGTGGCAAGTCCATTCTGTAAACCTTTCGTGCCCCACGCTCAGTAGACTCGCGGTCAGCAATCTGAAAAACCGCATGGGAAGTGGGGATTCCGTGTGTGAAGACGTTTCCATTCGCTAGTTCTCCATTCCAGCCGCGCAGGGATGATTACAACCAATCGAGAGAAAGCATGTGGAGCTTTTCCTCGCTTCTGGGTAGTGTGCTAGGAACGAGCAGTAGATACTGTAAAATGGACAGCGTTCTTGTATCTGTACTATCATATATTTTTGTTCTGTACAACTGTGGATGTATGGATATGGGGTCCTATTGGACCATATTTTATGTATTGCGGTGTCTGTACTGATTTTATCCCCTTGTTTCCTATCGAACCTCATATTTGGAAGAATCCGTTATGCAACCATAAGATAACACATATAATTAAGATATATTATTTATCAGCCTCTTTCTATATGTTCGTCCATAGGCATCTTGTTGCATGTAGTTGAGTTATCACATGCTTTTATATTGTAAGTGGAGAGCCCTTTTCGAGCCTAACTTCATGGTGGTGGTTAGCCACTTCAAATCATGTCATGACCTCGAGTTGAGGCACCAAAGAAGCATTGATCACTACACCACACGTTCGTTGACATTCTCCAGGATCGGCCTATTCGCTTTCGAGGTTAGAGGCTGATGAGGGTCGACTCCCCAGATTGTGGGAGGAGGCACGCAGCTCTCCAGAATTTGCTTCGCGATTCAACCTTCCGACCAATCACAGGCAATGCCCAGGACTTCCCGGCGCCAGCCATCGAGGTGACGCGCGCATAAGCACTGTTCATGGTTTCCCTGCTTTCTCTCGTTTCTGCCACCATCCATGACCATGGGCTCTTCAAATTATCCTTGCTCACACCACTTTCAAGGTCTCTTTTTCGAGTCCATTGACATCACGCAGGGACTGGAACAAATCCTCCGCCTTTTTTTCGCGTTACGTCTCTAGTGTCTTTCTTTCGAGTCTGCTTCTGATAGGCTGTAGGCCATGGATCCAGCTGTGGCGATCGTGTTGGGCCAGGATCCCGCGCCATTTGAGCAGCTGCTGCAGCGACTCCTTTCCCCGTCAAACGACGACAGAGGCGAGGCCGAGCGCATATTCAATCTCTGCAAGCAGCAGCCTGACGCTCTCGTTCTCCGCCTCGTCGCGGCGCTGCAGTCCTCCGCCGCAGGAGCGGACGTGCGTACGATCGGCGCGGTGCTCCTTAGACGAGTGATTACGAAGGACAGCGTGTCGCTATGGCCGCAACTGAGTCCCGCGACGCAGGCGACCGTCAAGACTGAATTACTCGCCAGCGTGCAGAGGGAGCCTACTAAGGCGATCTGGAAGAAGCTGTGCGACACGATCGCGGAGCTCGCTGCGGGAATCGTGGAGTCGGGGACATGGCCGGAGCTGCTTCCGTTCATGTTCCAATGCGTGTCGTCGGCGGACGACCGTCTCAAGGAAGCATCGCTGCTGATCTTCGCGCAGCTAGTGCATTTCTTCCAGTCGCAGCTCAAGCCTCATCTCCCCACTCTACACAATGTGCTTCTGCAGTGCCTCTCCCAGTCAGCCAATCCCGATGTGCGGATCGCCGCTCTAAAAGCAGCTGCGAATTTCGTCGAGGCGCTCGAAACTCCCGAGGAGCTGACGCAATTCCAGGATTTACTGCCCGGAATGATGCAGACGCTGAACCTGTGCCTGCAGAGCAAAGACGAGGCAAGCGCGCAAGAGGCGCTCGAAATGCTCATCGAGGTTGCCGGCATCGAGCCGCGCTACATGCGCAAGCAGCTGACTGACGTCATCGCCGCAATGCTGCAGATCGCGGAATCCACGCAGCTCGAGGACGCCACGCGTCACCTCGCCATTGAGTTCCTGATCACGCTGTCAGAGGCCCGCGAGCGCGCGCCGGGGATGATGCGCAAGGTGCCGCATTTGGTGGGCCGGCTGTTTGCAGTGCTGATGGCGATGCTGTTGGATATCGAGGACACGCCCGAGTGGCACGCCGCGAACGACGAGGAGGAGGATTCGGGAGAATCGGCGAATTACGAGGTCGCACAGGAGTGCCTTGATAGGCTCGCGATCTCCGTTGGCGGGAACACCGTTCTCCCCGTCGCGTCGCAGGCGCTTCCCGCGTACTCGACCGACGTGGATTGGAAGAAGCGGCACGCGGCGCTCGTGTGCCTTGCGCAAATCGCGGAGGGCTGCACCAAGGTAAGCTCGTTTGGCACGGGAATTCGGCTTAGAGCTGAAAAATCAGGGAAGTGATCTGTCACTTCCCCCTTGCTACGACCCATCCATGTTCTCCCTCGATCCCCTTACAAGCTTTCAGTTCCTGTTAAAGCCCTCTCCCCGCACCCCTCTCCCCCGCACCCCTCCCCTCTTCCCTGCACCCCTGTCCGCGCCGCGCAGGTGATGTCGAAAAGTCTCGACTCGGTGGTGACCATGGTGCTCGCCGCCTTCAACGACCCCAACCCGCGCGTCAGGTGCGCTCCCATCCATCCCCACACGCTACCGCAGCACCCGCCCCTACTCCCCTCTCCTTGTCTTCTCTACAGCGTTGCGTACCTTCTCGAGCAGTTGTGATGGCAAATTCGGAGTTTGAGCGCTCCTTTTTCTGTTCGCTGGCAGGTGGGCGGCGATCAACGCGGTGGGGCAGCTGTCAACAGACCTGGGCCCGGACCTGCAGCAGCAGTACCACGCGCGCGTGCTGCCCGCGCTCATCGCCGCCATGGACGACGGCGCCAACCCGCGCGTGCAGGCGCACGCCACCGCCGCCATCCTCAACTTCAGCGAGGCCGCGACGCCCGAGATCATGGCGCCGTACCTGGACCAGCTGCTCAACAAGCTGCTGCAGCTGCTGCAGGTGAGAGGCCGGTGGGGGGGAAGGGGGTGTCGGGGAATTGCTGTGGGAAATGATTGCTTTGGTGGGAGCGGAGCAGACTGGGCGGGTTGATGGGTTGGGGTAATATGGAACCGGAAAAGGAGGGTCTCCAAAGCCGCCCCTCCACTCTTCCCCTCCACCTCCTCGAAAACGAAACAAAACTACGTCAATTGGAGCATACTAATGAATGCCCACTCAGATAAATTTGATATCACCATATATGCAGTGAATTCGCACCCCTGGGCATGCATTTTCACTTTATTGAACGCCTGCACTTGAGCGTGCGTGCACCTCCCCGCTCGTGCTTGCTCATGACACGTGGTGCGCGTTGACTCGTCTGATATGAGCGTCCTTCCATGTGGATTCGGCATGTGCGTGCAGTTTGGCAAGCGCATGGTGCAGGAGGGGTCGCTCACAGCCATTGCTGCCATCGCTGACTGCTCTCAGGTGCGTTGACCGCGTTGACTGTCTTGTCAATACGCACCCATTGCTGCTCTAACTTCACTAGCGTTGCTCTTTGCCTCTCTCCCTCGCTGCTGTAACCTCAGTTGCCGGACCTACTGCATCTTTACCTCCTCATCCTTCCACCCTCGTGTGAATCCCCCTCCATCAAACACCCCCCACCCTACCGCCCCCGCTCCCGCTGTCCCTCTCCCGCTTTCCCACCTTTCCGTCGTCCCCCAGGAGCACTTCTCAAAGTACTACGACGGGGTGATGCCGTATCTCTCTGCCCTCCATCAATTAACCCCTCTCCTTCACCCCGCTCTCCCCCCCCGACCCCCCCCCACACCCTCCCCCAGGAGCACTTCTCAAAGTACTACGACGGGGTGATGCCGTACCTGAAGACGGTGCTCACGCAGGCGGGCGACAAGGAGCAGCGCATGCTGCGCGCCAAGGCCATGGAGGCCATCAGCCTGGTGGGCATGGCGGTGGGCAAGGACAAGTTCCGCGCCGACGCCAAGGAGGTCATGCAGGTGCTCGTGTCGCTGCAGGCCGCGCCCATGGAGGACGACGACCTCACCATGAGCTACATGCTGCAGGTATGACGTCACCATGAGCTACATGCTGCAGGTATGACGTCAGCGTGAGCTACATGCTTTTGAGACGTCTCACGTGGTCATGCCGCTGCTGTTGGCCTCCGCCTCGCTCACCCCCTCCAATCCCTTTCCCCTCGCTTCTCCCCAACCCTCATTCTCTCTCCTACCCGCTCCCTCCCCTTTCTCACGCTTTCCCCCATCCACCCTTTCCCCCTCCTTTCCCCCTTCCCCTCCCTCCTTCCCACCCCCTCCACCCTGCTTGTGCGGCAAGGCGTGGGCGAGGCTGTGCAAGTGTCTGGGGGCGGAGTTCCTGCCGTTCATGCACGTGGTGATGCCGCCGCTGCTGCACTCCGCATCGCTCAAGCCCGACGTTACCATCTCCGACATTGACGACGACACAGCCAATGATGACGACGATGACGACAGGTGCGTGCGTGGCTGGCGTGTGGTATACTGTGCATGCTGAGCTGTGATATGGGTGCTCTGTGGGTCTGGAGGAAATGGTTGAGTTTGTGTTGTGCAGTGCCTGTACAGCATGGTGCGTTCTGTGCTGTGCGCATGCCGCTCACGGTCTCTCTGCCACCGCTTCCCTGTGGGCCCACATGGCCTCACCCCCTGCCCCGCGCCCACGGCAGTGTGGAGACGATAACGATAGGCGACAAGAAGATTGGCATTCGCACGAGCATGCCCTCACCATCTCTCCCACCCCCCTCCCCATCGCACCCACATTCACCCGCACATGCACTCCCTGTGTCGCCTCGCCACAGTGTGGAGACGATAACGATAGGCGACAAGAAGATTGGCATCCGCACGAGCATGCTGGAGGAGAAGGCGACGGCGTGCAACATGCTGTGCTGCTACGCTGACGAGCTCAAGGAGGGCTTCTTCCCCTGGATCGACCAGGTAAGGTCACGGAGAGGGGGATTATGCATGCATGGAAGAGGGAAACGGCAGCATTCATGGCAGGGCGGTTTTGGGGGGCGGGAGGGTAGCAGCCTCGTTGACGAAACAGTGAAGCGAAGAGGTGAATACAATCCCATCCCATGCAAGGTCACAATCCATGTATCTTCCACCAACTCAACCGCTCTCAGCCTCCCAGAAAGGGTTTGCCCATTACTGTGAGCACAGTAATGGGCAAACTCATCAAGCTCATCTTCCCTCTACCCCCCTCACGTGCTTGCTTGCGTGTGTTGGTCGGGTCTGCCTCGGACAGGTGGCGCAGCTGATGGTGCCGCTACTCAAGTTCTACTTCCACGAGGAGGTCCGCAAGGCCGCCGCCCAGTGTAAGTCCCCATGCGCCCAGCATGCTCAAGCTCTTCCCCATGCTCCCCTCGCGCCAGCCTTAGTGTGCTCACTCACTCGCCCTCTTCCTCGGGCCGCCTTCCCTCCCCGGCCTCCTCTCCCTTCATGTGCTCCTCTCTCTGGTGCACCCACCCACAGGTGCACTGGTCTACCTCCCCCGTCTCTCTTCCCCATTCTCTCCCCCTCTTCTCCCCGCATCAGCCCCGCCCCCTATGCGCCTTTGACAGCCATCCCGGAGTTGCTGTTGGACAGCAAGCTGGCGGTGGAGAAGGGTGTGGCGCCCTGCATGTCAGTCCCATGAGTACTCTCCCCACCTCTCCCCACCTCTCTGCACACCTCCCCATCTCTCCCCATGCGCACAGCCATCCCGGAGCTGCTGCTGGACGGCAAGCTGGCGGTGGAGAAGGGCGTGGCGCCGGCAGTGACAGCAACAGCGGAGGGCGAGAAGCGCTACCTCAAGCAGATGGTCGACTTCCTCGTGCCGCCCCTCGTTGAAGTGCTCACCAAGGTGTGTGGGAGCTGCCTGGTGGAGGTGCTACCTGGTGGGGGTTGATTTCGGCAGGGTCATTATCCGTGGTGCAACATTTTGCAAAAACTTTTTGAGTCGTGTCTGACGCTCCCCCTGCTCGCTGCTGTGTGCTCCTGTGCCCATCCCCCCTCTGCCAGGAGCCTGAGGTGGAGATGATAGTAGTCATGCTCGAGTCGCTGCAAGAATGCATTCAGGTGAGCCCAGGCGTTTCAACGTGAGATCAGGAGTTCCCAACACGAGATGAGAGTAGTTTTGAACTTGAGGTTAGGAGCTTTTGAATGAGGTCGAATGCTTCCAGCATCAGGTGCATGCATGCACAGACTATAAATGTGAAGTAAGTTGGGTTTTGAGACGTCTCAGAACCCCCTTTTCCAGCATCAGGTGCATGCACAGACTACAAGTGCTGCCCCATGTCCTTCTAACTTCTAGTACCCACCCCTCCACCCCCTCCTGTCCCATTTCCTCCTCTCCTATCCTGCTCTCCTCTCCTCTCCCCTCCTACCCTCTGCCCTGTAGCTGGAGGGAGCGGAGTTGAGTGCGGAGCAGGTGGCGCAGGTGGTGGTGCAGCTGAAGGCCGTGGTGGAGGGCAGGCTGCTTTGAGTCTACTCAGAGTTCTTCTCATGTCCTCCTCTCCTCTCCTCTCCCTCTTGTGTGCTACAGCTAGGGGGAGTGGAGCTGAGTGCGGAGCAGGTGGCGCAGGTGGTGGTGCAGCTGAAGGCCGTGGTGGAGGGGAGGCGGCTTCTGACTCTCCTCAGATTTTATCTCATATCCTCCTCTCCTCTCTCTATGCCACAGTTGGGAGGCGCGGAGCTGAGTGCGGAGCAGGTGGCGCAGGTGGTGGCGCAGCTGAAGGCGGTGGTGGAGGGCAGCAGGGGGCGGCGCAAGGAGCGGCTGGAGCGCACCCAGACGGAGGACTTTGACGAGGAGGAGAGCGAGCTGCTGCAGGAGGAGAACGAGCAGGAGGACGAGGTGATCGACCAGGTCAGTCATGCGCTGCTGCTGCTGCTGCTGGGGTGTGGGGGGAGGGTGGGTGGGGAGTGAGGGCAAGTAAGAGCTGTACTGCTGTGTTGCCGCTGGGGGGAAGGGAAGGGTTACAGCGGGGAGAGGGGCATGGGGACAGAGGCAGGGACTGGAGGGCGTGCAGATGGGGATTTGGCGTGGAGAACAGAAGGGGCGTTGAAGTGGTGCATGGGTTAGGTGGAATGCGCAAGGAGAGGGGCTAAGGTGAGGCTCAAGTAGTAAGGGGTACAGTGGGTGGATGGGGGAGAGCAGGGGACTAAGGGGCGACCACTAGCTAAGGATGGATTAAGGAGCAAAGGTGTGGAAGGAGATGAGCTGATGTTGATTCCAAAGTGAATGTTTTGAATCAATCAAGATCCAGGGCACCTTACAACATCCGTGTGTGCTGCTTTTTGCATTGCTGTACGGTGCTGTGCGGTGCATGGTTATATAGGTGGGCGACTGCATAGGAGAGCTGGTGCGGGTGTTCAAGGGCAGCTTCAAGCCCTTCGCCCACGACCTTGCTCCCTTCGTGCTGCAGACGACAACACCCTAAGCCCTTTATGCATTGCTGTGCGGTGCTGTGTGGTGGTGGCAGGTGGGCGACTGCATAGGAGAGCTGGTGCGGGTGTTCAAGGGCAGCTTCAAGCCCTTCGCCGACGATCTCGCCCCCTTCGTGCTTCAAATGATGGTCAGTCACGCCGCTCCAACGCTTGGGGCAAATATTGCAAGCACTAGTCTGCTCTCATGTAACTCTCATGCCCCTATCCCTTACCTCAGATGCTCCCTTCACAGCCAAGCGGACGTAACTCCGGGTTGCGCTGCCCTTTCCCTCCCCCCTTCCCCCTGGCGTGCAGGACAAGAGTCGGCCGTCCACGGAGAGGAGGGTGGGCATATGCATCTTTGACGACCTGGCGGAGAACATGGGCGATGCTGCTGCCAGGTGCGCTCCTCTGCTCGCCTCCTCTGCTCCCCATGCTCTGCTATCTTCCTCCTGGGGCTCATGCTCCTTATCTTGACTGTACTTCACCTCTATTTCCTACGACTCACGTCTATCGCTGCTCCCACCCTTCTCGTCCCTTTCGTTTCCCTGCCACAACCGCCCCATCGTTCATTCCCGACTCCCTCGCCCCTCCCCCCCACCAGCTACTTCCCGGCGTTCCTGCCGCACATCCTGGAAGCCGTACTCGACCCCTTGCCCGAGATCCGACAGGTACCGCCCGCCCCTCTGCTCCCACCCGCCCCTCCGCTCCCACCCACGCCTACCAAACTCTGCCTCGTGATGTGTTTTTCCACTCGCATCCCTGTATGTGATTGCACTGACTCTTTCTTCAATCGGTCTTTAAAACCCTCCCAGATGGATAACACTCAACGTTTTCTACTGCTGCTGCCTCCTTTTCCCTCCTGCTGTGCTTCACCCGTGTGTGCGAGTGCAGTCAGCAGCATATGGCATTGGCATCTGTGCACAACATGGTGGTGCTGCCTTCACGCCATACGTGCCAGGTCTGCTCCCTCCCCCTCCCTGCTCACAGCTCTCTGTTTCTCGCGTTCTTACTCTCCTCAACTCCCTTGCCCCAGTCATCCGCATTCCCTGCTGATTGGAGCCCCCTCATCAACCCAGCATCTTCTCCTTGCCTCTTGGCGTGCTCGCCATCACGTGTCATCTCATGTGTGCCATGCACTCCATCCCATCTCCTCCCCTGTCCGCCATGCAAATGCAGACACGGTGGCACGGCTGGGGCAGGTGGCGAGCAGCGGGGACAGCAAGAGCGAACTCAGCGTGTCAGCAACGGACAACGCCATATCAGCCTTGGGGCGCCTGTGTGAGCACCAGGCGCACGCACCCTTTGACTCGGCGCACGTGCTGTCTGTGTGGCTGGCCTACCTGCCCATCCGGGAGGACCGTGCCGAGGCCAAGGTCGCACACGCGCAGCTCTGTGGCCTGCTGGAAAGGTGCGTTGCTTGCCCCTGCCTCGACTCCCTCTGCCACCCACAATCCATGATAAAGACTACGTGCTTTTTTTCCCTTTTCCTGTTTCCCCCCCTTCTTTCTTTGTCTGACACTCTACCCCTCCACTCCGTTCCCTACGGTGGTCAGGTCGGACACTCGTATTCTGGGCCCCAACAACCAGAACCTACCCCACATTGTCGGAGTGCTGCTAGAGGTATGTGTATGCACAACCTGACTCCTCATCACCTACCTATGCACTCGCTGCCATGTTCTCGCTGCTCTGCTGTGCCGAGCCTTGTGCTTGCCACACATATCAGGCCTCCGGGGTCTGGTAGGGTTTAGGGTGTCTCCGGAAGCCTGATAATGAACGCGGCCATTAATTATGCTTGGTTTTGATTTGTTTCCCCCAGGTGCTCAAGGCTGGCACGGACTTGGCAACAGAGGAGACGTGCAAGCGAGGTGTGACGCTGCTGAGGAGCCTACCAGCGGAGATAGTGGGGGCTCTGCCCCCGGAGCAGCAAGCTGTCTTGCAGCAGGCCCTTCAGTCCTCGTAAAAGGTTCAATCACACATTTCTAGGTGATTTTACCAATAAATATTCTACAAATGCAGGTTCATGCTACATGTTTAGGGTTGTTGTAGCTAGTTGCCTTCATCCTGGCTCAGATTTGGGCCTAAGGATTCCGTAGAGGGTTGTAATAGCATATCCATTTTAGCTGTAGGCTATTGTAGTGGTTTTGTATTTGTATAATGGTTATTTCTAGTAACCACGTAGCCACCTTATTGTAAGCTTAGCCAGTACAAACATGTAGTCGCAATTGTTTTGTCTACGCGACTCTCGCCAGTGACTCTGGGATGATCGAGTTATCTTTCCCCACCCCACCTTGACCAAATTACCACATCATCGGAAATACCATTCCGTCTTGACCGGACTGCACACATTTGCTAGTCTCGGCTTGGTAATATTCCTAGGTTCCTCCTCTGGTGCTAAGATTTGTCTCTTGGACAAAGTTGTAGGCTGCATTTCTCACCATGGCTGGCACGCGCGCTGCGCTGGCGTTGCTCGCGGTCCTAGCCGTAGTCAGCCTGTCGTGCGTTGCAGCGGACGATGATGGCAAGGTGCTGACGCTCGACTTCACGAATTTCGAGTCGGAGGTTAAGAGTCACGACTTTATCGCCGTTATGTTCTACGCTCCCTGGTACGCACGTTCCCTCTCTCCCGATGCTCGATCGCTCGCGTTCCTTGTCCATGCGGTGACACATCTTTCCGGCATTGCATTCCGTATGGCACTCGACTTACTCTGCCAGTTCCATAAGTCACCCGAATATCGTCGCAATATTGTGCTCCAACTGCATCGCTGCGCTGCTCTCATTCATCCCCACCGCATCTTTCGTTTCTCCCCATTGAATCGACCTCGACCCTCCTCGCCAAACATTTCTCCATTCCCCTCTCCATGACCCCCATTCCCCTTCCTTACCCTCATTCCCCACCGCCTCGCCTTTGTTGTGTCGGCAGGTGCGGTCACTGCAAACGACTAGAGCCAGAGGTAAGCGCGCGAGGGAAATGTGGAAACGGGATAGGAGGGAGGTGCGAGAGAATGACGGAGAGAAGGAAGAGGTTGGGTGGTAGGAGAGCGACTGAAGGAACGCGAGAACAGTGTCACGACAATAGCGCTTAACAGCTTTCCGCGTTCAGTGCGCGCCTGCACACGTCACATTGTGACACGTGGTATGTGCTCGTCATTCCCAATGTGCTGTGCAGTATTTCAAGGCGGCAGCGATGCTGGCAGAGAGGAGGGGCCGGAGGTGGTCAACGGCGACGAGAAGAGGCACAGCAAGGCCATCACCAGGAGACTTTTGATTAGACTCGAAAGTCATTCCCATTGTGCTGTGCTGTGCTGAGCAGTATGTCAAGGCAGCGGAGATGCTGGCAGAGGAGGGGTCAGACATAGTGCTGGCGCGCATCAATGGCGACGAGATGAAGCACAAAGTCCTCGCCTTTTGAGTCCGACTGAGATGTCTGCTCGTTATTCCCCATGTGCTGTGCTGTGCAGTATCTCAAGGCGGCGGAGATGCTGGCGGAGGAGGGGTCAGACATAGTGTTGGCGCGCATCAACGGCGATGAGAAGAAGCACAAAGCCCTCGCCAGGAAGTACGGCGTGGGGGGCTTCCCCACCATCAAGATCTTCCGCACGTGAGTCGCTTGCTCTGCCCCCGTGTAATGTGGCGCCTGCTCTGCCAAGGCGTGGCGCCTGCCCTGCCAAGGCATAGCGCCTGCTTTGATACAAAGCCTGTTCTCATGAGTGCTTCAAGCAAATGAACGGACGACTGTGAGGTCTTTCATATCCATCCTCTCGCCTCCCCCTCCCCCCTCTCGCTTCTTCATCCCTCCCTCCGTCTCCTCCCCCCACGCCCCACCCACCCGAGGGACACGCTGTTGACGCGCCTAAAAAATCCCTTTCCCATCCGCCCCACCTCTCTCTACCCCGCCTCTCCCCATCCCCCCACCCCCTCCCCTCTCCATCCCCGCACCCCCTCCCCTCTCCCACCCCAGGGATTACGCATCACCATTGACGTACAAGGGCCCACGGGAGGCAGCGGGGCTGGTGGCGTATCTGAAGAAGCAGGCGGGGCCGGCCAGCACCAAGGTGCGGTCGGGGTCCGACCTCAAGCGCGCCATGGAGGACGACGCAGTTGTTGTCGTGAGTCGCTGGCACCCCCGCCCCTTACGCTATGCGCACTGTGCCACATTCGTGCTGCACCTCTTGTTGCCACCCTGCATCGCCGGCGAGCACCAAGGTGCGGTCAGGCTCAGACCTCAAGCGCGCCATGGAGGACGACAGCGTTGTTGTGGTGAGTCGCTGCCGCCCCTGCACCTTGCGACATGCGCCATGCCATGTCACCCGCCATTTACCATGCACCACCATGTGCCATGATGCCATCCGCGTGCCCCTCTCTCCGTGTGGCGTGTGTGTCGCACCTGCACCGCTTGTTTCCACCCTCCTTCGCCTCGCCTCCCATGCCGCCGCTCCCCTGCCAACCATCTGTCTGGCCTGGCCCATAGCCTTCACTCCACCCCTCCCTCCCATCCCAACCTTCTCTCCCCTACACCATTCTGCCACTCCCCCCACCCCATCCCTCGCCAGGTGGGGCTGTTTTCAACGCTCTCGTCGCCTGAGTTTGAGTCGTTCCTGTCCGTAGCAAGGGAGCTGCGAACGGACTTTGTGTTCAAGCACACCACCGACGCCTCCCTGCTGCCCGCCAAGGGGCCCCAGCTCGAGGCACCCGCCGTGCGCCTGCTCAAGCAGTTCGATGAGGGGTTCTCCGACACAGAGGTGAGCCTTGCGCCTCAACTCCACCCACTCCTGCCTCTCCACACACTCCTTGTCCCTCTCCACCCTGAGCTTCTTTCAATTGCCCCTGTGGCCGATGGCTCGTGCAAGCACAGCTGAGGATTTCGCCACCGGCTAAAGCTCTTGGCCGTGGGATTCCTTCGTGACCCTCCTCCCCTCCCTCCCCCTCCGCCATTCCGGCTGTGCGCCTGCCCTAGCAGTTGGAGGAGGGGCAATCCCACACGCAGCAGACGTGGGAACGCAAGCAAGGGCCACAGGTGGTGCCGGTTGTTTTATGGGAAGGTTGAGGGGACGGTGATGCATGCAGGATGAAGGCACAATCTGTGCAGGTCAACGCCTCAATAAAAAGCCCTCTTCTCCCCTCGTTCCCTTGCCCCCTGTCCCCTGCCTTCTCCCATTCCCGCGAGCAGGAGTTCACACCGGCAGCGCTGAAGGCGTTCATAGAGCGGCAGGCGGTGCCGCGCGTGGTGGAGTTCAGCCAGGACCCCAAGGACCGCCCCTACCTCTCCCGCGTCTTCCAGGCGCCCACCAACAAGGTGCGTCCCCCACACGCCCTCAGCATCGTGCTGCGTCTTTTCTTACTCAGCCCTCTCGCTTTCCCCCACTCGAGCTGCTGCTTTTTCTGCCTGCGAAGCTCTCTCTTCCGTGCTTCCCACTCTGCTGCTCACCCTCCCTGTGCATCAACAAAAGACTGAATCTCTCGCATCGCCCCCTCCCACCCCTGCAGTCGCTGCTGTTCCTGACATACAGCCTGCCGGACGCGCCAGAGTTCCGCAGCCGGTACGTGGAGGCGGCCCAGGAGCAGCCCGACTCCATCCGCCTCGTCATCGGGGAGGCTGCTGCCAACGAGCATGCTCTTAAGGTGCCACGGAGGGCGGGAGGGACCACCATACCATGGCCTCACTCACTCAGTCTCACACCACACCCACACCATGCCGACATAATGGCTTTCATGCACCGGTTCCCACAAGTATCTCCTCAGAATTATCTTCTGCTCTCAGCTTCCACCTCGCAGCACTCTCACGCTCACCTTCCCATTATTCTCCCCCCTGACTCTCTCCAACAAAGCCTTTTCTGTGTGCTGCCCCCCACCCACTCGGCCCCGTGTGCGTCCTGGCAGTACTTTGGGCTGGCAGTGAGTGACACGCCAGCCATGGTGATCCACGACCCGCGCTACGATGCCAAGTTCATCCGCACCCACATCGCCCCCTCCGACATCGGCCCCTTCCTTGCCGACTTCCAGGTCCGCCCTCCCCCAGTGCTACCCTCCCTCAGGTCCCCCTCACTCTGCTCCTATCTCCATTAAGTATGTTTTCATTGAAATCCGCTTTTCACACGGCTGCCGTCCCCTACTTCTGCCTCCTTATTTCTTCCTATATCACACCCTCTGTATGCTCTATGCCACCTGTGCCTCCACCTTCCTCCAACCCACGCAATCCTGGCGCTCCCGTTCACCCTCCCTGGCATCCCTCCCCTTCCCATACCCATGCCCCCCTGGGAGCAGGCGGGGAGGGCGGAGAGGGTGTTGAAGAGTGAGGCGGTGCTACAGGGGGACTCAGGGGCGGTGAAGAAGGTCGTGGCCAACAGCTTCAAGGACCTTGTGCTCAATTCCCGCAAGAATGGTGAGAACAAACTGCTCCCTGCTCTTACCCGCATGCTCTCGCTACTATGCTGCTGTCCGCGTGCTCCCGCTGCCACAGTTGCCCACGTTTTCTCGCTGCTATGCTGTTGTCCATGTGCTGTTTTGCTTCAGGTCTCTGCCTTGTTCCCGCTCTGCCTCTCTGCCTGCAGTCCGGTCACATTCAGAGGCCGACGCCGACGGCATCGTCTCCCTCACAATTCCTCTCGCAACTGCTACTGTCTGTGCTTTAACAGCTCTGGCGGACGCCAAGCATCAGAGCTGATGGATGTCCATCCACACGCATGCACACCCTGCTTTCATCAGGCCCCCCCTGCTGCTCAAGAACTCTGCAGCGCAGCCCTTCTCCTCCTCGCCTTCGTGCTTTCACCTAATCCCCTTCCTCTCACCCCCATCTCCCCAACACCAGTGCTCGTGGAGTTCCACGCCCCGTGGTGCACAGCCTGTGCTGACCTGGATCCCGTGCTCAAGGACATGGCAGAGTCTCTCTCCGGCCAGAGGGACGTTGTTGTTGCCAAGATGGTCAGTGACGTCGCATGATGTGCTTGCATGCAGCGAGGGTGCCACGATGGTGACTGGGTGTTTGCATGCATGCATATGTGTGCACAATGCACCGTTGAATACAAGCATCTGGATTGGCATGGCACTGCATCCCAAGGGGCACAATGCCTAAGCGCGCTGTCTTCTCTGCATGTCTGGCATGCCCCACGCCCTCAGGATTTCTCCGCCAACGACATTCCGTCGGATAAGTTTGACGTGAAGGCGCTGCCCACCATCTACCTCTACACATCCGCTGGTGTAGCCGTGCCCTATGCTGGCGACAACTCCAAGGCCAGTCTCCTCGCCTTTGTCCGGAAACACAAGGGAGCCAAGAAGGCCGCTGCTTCTCCCCCGACCGCGGAGGAATTGGCCGAGGCGGAGGAGATTGCCAATGCTGAGGAGGACGAGGAGGACGAGGATGAGAGGAAGGATGAGCTGTAATTGTTTTTAGGTCTGTTATTATTAGTGGATGCAAGATGCAACTTGTTTTTAGGACTGACAAGGTTAGGATAACTGTATTCAAATCGAGTTGCCTTGTCCATTGACCGTGACGGGGATACACGAACGCTATTACTTCTTGCACCCAATCACCGTGAAGCATGTACATCGAGAAGCGGCCACGTGAGCAGCTTCAGCTTTCCCGCCAAAACTGCATTTACGGTAAGTCGAGTCCGTCAGGCAGGCTCTTTCCTCACCAGCCGCTTCTGAATTTCATTTTCCACCTCTCGCCTGCACAGCTCGCTATTCTCTTATCTCCAGAAGTTCTCCAAGGCGTGCATGCAGCAAAGTAGAATTATTTTTCCGGGCACCCGTGTCTAGTCCGTTTGCTGATCCTCATTGGAAGTGTCATTTGCGTGGCACGCGGACGCGGAAGATAAGGCCGTCGCGATCGGGATCGCGATCACCATGGACCTCATTCGTTGCAACACCGTCCACACTCCACGCTCGTGCCTGTCGCCAGCCGCGTCAGTGTCTAGAAGTCGACAACATGGCGGCTCTGCGGCGTATCCCTCTCAAAACAAATGCCAGATATCGTCGGCGCAAGCTGCGTTCTCTCGGTTCTCTCCACCCTGCGCGTCGCTCCAATGCCGCACTCCTATTGTCCCATTCTCGCGACTGCCAATGCATCGGTTGACACGCCAACAGCAGCCAGGTCGATTCCGACGAGCCCGGCGAGTCTCCGTGATGGCTGCCGATCAACGCGATAGCGAGTTCTCCGTTAAGCCGAGTAAGGTGCTTCCTGCTGGCATTCCTTCCACGTGACGTCGCTCCGCTCATCTCACTCCCGAACCTCCATACTTTCCGTGCACTGGCTTTTGGACTCCCTCCAACCATGTCTCGTTCCGGCCAGCCACGAGTCAATGCATCCGCTCTGACATCATGCAATCCTGTCCTGGTTGCCACTCGTCCGTGTCCTGTGGCCCCCGCCTTGCCACATGCGCACACGCAGGCAGCAGAGACGGTGGTGCCGTGAGCAGCGGCGAGGGGATTGTGATGGAGCTGCCTTGCTTGCCGTTCAACCCCGCCGAGGTGAGTCAGCGGGGTCAAACGGAGAGCCGAGAGGGTTGAACGGGGGGACTCAAGAGGGCCATTGTGCAAGTGAAGGGGATGTGGTTCTTGCACAGGTCACATTGCACAGGTCACATCGCAGAGCTCGTGCACATTGCAGAGCTCGTGCGCATCGCAGAGCTCGTGCGCATCGCAGAGCTCGTGCGCATCGCAGAGCTCGTGCGCATCGCAGAGCTCGTGCACGTTGCACAATGGCGATAGCAACTGGCCCTTTCATTTTTGACCCTGCAGAGCTCCACCAGTGACCCACATTGTCCGTTTCCTGTGTGTCCCCTCCGCGTGTGTCCCCTGCGCGTGTGTCCCCGCCGCGTGTGTCCCCGCCGCGTGTGTCCCCGCCGCGTGTGTCCCCGCCGCGTGTGTCCCCTCCGCGTGTGTCCCCTGCGCGTGTGTCCCCTGCGCGTGTGTCCCCTCCGCGTGTGTCCCCTCCGCGTGTGTCCCCTGCGCGTGTGTCCCCTGCGCGTGTCTCTCCTCTGTGTGTGTCCCTCGGCGTGTGCTATCATATCATGGCGGCAGGTGTTCCTGCCCGGGTCGTCCAAGACGCTGCATCTGTACGAGGCGCGATACCTCGCCCTGCTCGAGGAGGTGCGTTGCCCCTACAACGGCACACTACGCTGTGTGCATGGGGGGGGAGCCATGGGACAGTCATGTGATTGTGCCATCCCGGAGTGCTCCTTGTACCGTCCCATCTTTTGTATGGCCCCGTACCAGACATATTAGAGCATTGTATCATCGTGCTCATCCTTCTGAACAACATTGTGCAACATGTTCACCATGCATCCCATGCATCCCATGCACCCCATGCATCCCATGCACCCCATGCATACCCCATGCACCCCATGCACCCCATGCACCCCATGCACCCCATGCACCCCATGCACCCCATGCACCCCATGCACCCCATGCACCCCATGCATCCCATGCACCCCATGCATACCCCATGCACCCCATGCACCCCATGCACCCCATGCACCCCATGCACCCCATGCACCCCATGCACCCCATGCACCCCATGCACCCAATGCCCGCCATGCATGCAACCACAGGTGCTGTCGCGCAGCGGTGGGCTGCTGGGGCACGTGGTGTTGGAGCCCATGCGATCGGAGGACGGCCAGGGCATGACCTTCGTCGCCTCCTATGGCTGCCTCTCCTATGTTGAAAGCGTGCGCTCTCCCCTCCCGCCGCCCTCCTCTGCCTCTCCCTCCCTGCCGCCCTCCTCTGCCTCTCGCTTCCTGCCGCCCTCCTCTGCCTCTCGCTTCCTGCTTCCCGCCTCTTGCTTCCGCCTACTCTGCTCCCTCCTGCTCAGTGACCCACACAACCTCCCTCGTCTAACAAAGCCATTCTTCCGCCCTATGCTGCCTTTCCCCACCCTGTCCCCTCACCCTGTCCCCTGCAGGTGCGCAAGCTGCAGGTGGGAGCGCTGGTGGCGGTGAGGGGAGTGGGGCGCATTCGCCTGCAGCAGCTCACGCAAGTGGAGCCCTTCCTGCGCGGCCAGGTCACAGTTGTCACTGATGATCGCTCAGAGGAGGGAGCAGGGGCGGGTGGTGTGGGTGAGGAGGTGAAGAAGGCTGTGGAGGAGTTGAGAGCTGTGCTGAGGGACGTGCAGGAGCTGCAGATCAAGATCAAGGTAGGGTGTATGGCAGGGTGGATGCATGAGGACGATCGAGTACTTGTAGACTGGAACTTTAAGGTCAAGGGATGCACAGTGATGAATCACTGCATAACTTCCATCTCTCCCTTCCACCCTTCCACCCGTCCACCCGTCCACCCCTCCACCCCTCCACCCTTCACCCCTCCACCCTTTGTGCAGACCAGCACGGACGTGCCCCTACAGACGCCTCTGGAGAGGGCTCTGCGCTGGGTGGACACCGTCACTGCCGCCTCTGCTGCTGCTGCTGCTGCGCCACCAGCAGCACCCACAGCACCTGGCGCCCCTGCCACGTCTGCCACTGCCGCAGCCCAACAGCCAGCTGCCGCCTCGCCTCAGACAGTTGGTGACGCACCACGCACAGGCGCAGGCACAAGCGTAGGTGCAGGAACAGGTGATGCGAGCAGCAGCAGCAGCAGCAGCAGCAGCAGCAGCAGCAGCAGCAGCAGCAGCAGCAGCAGCAGCAGCAGTGGCAGTGGCAGTGGCAGCACAGAGGCAACGCCGTCATCGTGGTCCATTCTGCCTGATGACGACGGCGTGGAGCCTGACCAGTTGCCGCCCGAACAGCTCGAGTCTGCCGCCCGGTTTCTGGGCTTCCAAGGGCTGCCGACGCCGGCCACCCAGAGCACGGTGGCTGTCGATTCGGCCTCTGTGACCCTTGACCCTGACTTCGGCAAGACTGCTGGCCGCAGCAGCAGCAGTAGCAGCAGCAGTGGCTCCAGCAGCAGCAGCAGCAGCAGCAGTGAGAGTGAGGGTGGGGGCGAGAGTGAGAAGGCAGGTGGTGTTGGTGAGGGCATTGAGAACAGGGGGACGTTGGAAGGTGCTGGTTCTGTGGAAGCCCCCGAGGTGCCACCATACCGGGAGTACCTGCCATCGTACGAGGAGCTCGTGACCTTTGCTGCCCTGCAACCAGTCGCAGGTAACACATGCCCGCCATGCCATGCTATGCCACACCATGCCACACCATGCCATGCCACACCATGCCATGCTATGCCATGCCATGCCAGCTCTGCCCGTTTTGTATGCTCCACCTCACACCAGCCACATGTGGTGACGTGCATGGCCCACCCAGTCCCTGTGACTGGCTATGTCTGTCCTTCTGTAGCCCTCATCCCTTGCCCCAACCACTCCTCCCACCACCACCATGCCCACTCCCCCTGCAGGAGCATCAGCAGCAGAGCTCCACGGGCTGCTGCAGAAGCGCCTGGCAGCCATGGAGGAGACAGACACCATGAAGCGGGCGGCACTGGCTCGGCAGTATGCAGAACAGAGCCGGGCGGCACTGGCTGCTAAGGTGGCACTGCAGAGCCTACAGCTGTGAAAAGCACACAGCTGCAGTTGATGGTGGTGGTGAGGTGAGGACAGTGCAAGCAGTGATACAAAGTGCAACGGCATATTGTGGTGAAAACAACTCCGGAATCTTGCCCGATCAAAAGTTGCTTATCATAGCTGTTCACTTCAGGTTCAGATTCACATGCATCAGCATGCACTGATGGAGCACATGGACTAGCATAAGAAAACCATATTATATAGCATAATAAATGGGAAGGATTACACCCAGTGTCTTTAGCGAATATTCCCTCTAGCTGGCAGCTAGCTGCATAAGCAAACCGCCTAGTACCTCAACTGGCCACCTAAAGTTCCACAAAGTAACAATGCGCTATGGCAGCTCGCATGACCAAACCGCCATGTTCCTAGACTCAACCCAACCAAACCGTATATGTAACTACTCCTACGAGTAATAGCGCCGCAAGTGAAGCATCTGTATTGTAGGCTGCTTTCCCCTGGTGCCCCCTTAGTCAAGGCATGGCTCCCGTCTGTAAGCATCGCAACTCAACAAAGCAACAGCGCTTTATTCCAACCTGCCCCCGTCCCCGACCCCGCACGTTCATGTATGCGCTGCAGCGCGCCACGTCACACCTGCTTCTGATACCGCCGGAACAGCGGCCCGGCCCTGTTGGTAGCGACGGGGACTTCCATAGCGGGGACGGGATTAAATTCGTAGGGCGGCGTGAAGACATTCTTGCCCGACTCGGTAAAGAAAGCGCCGTTCTCGAAGTGGTCGCCGATGGACTGCCACGGCCAGTTCTGCCACCCCGCGCTCGACACCTTGATCTTAGTCCACGTCTTGTCGCTGATCTGCTTCGCCTCCCACCCGTGCGTGTCCTGCCGCTTCGTCACCTCCTTAATATCCCCCGCGACGAAGTAATTCGCCTCGCTGCGGAAGCGCGCGCCAGCGGAGCCGCCGATGGCGTAGATGCCCCAGCCGTACGGATAGTAGTTGTTCACCACGTGAAACTGCCCGTGCCGGCCGCTGTTTGCGGAAGAGGGGAAAGGAAAGATTCAGATAAGCCACTCACCAAATCTTGCTGTGTCGGCAAATATATGCTGAAGCCAACTAGCAAAAAAAGGAAAAAAAACAAAAACAAAAAGCAAGAGTATTTTTGAGGTGGGAAGGGCACTCACCGGGGCATGCGCTGATTGCAGTTCTGGCCGAACACGTTAAGCCCGACGGTGACGCGCATGTTGTCGTCTCCCGTCGCCGCGTCGTCGTTGCTCATCAGCATCACTTCGTCCTGGTTCACGAAATAGTTGTTGGTAACCGCCACGTTCGTCGACCCCACGACGATGTTGACTTGCGTGTCGAGTGCCTTTTCGAACCCGCAGTGGTCCCCACACCTCCACCGCGTTGCCGTCGCGCCAGTCCTTCACCTCCACGCCCTTCCCCGACCGCACCTTGATCGTGCCGCTGAGGAGAACGAGTGGAAAGGGGGTGGGGAAACGGCAGGTGAGTGCGCGGGAGTGCGGAACGGTAACGGGATGGTGCTGGCAGCATGGCGCAAGGTGCAGCGAGGTTTAGAGCACGCGCGATTTGCTCGAGGTGACACAATGTGAGGTGCTTGCTGCGAGTAAGCTACTATCGCGTACAAAGACTCGCGAGGGCGTACCTGCGCATGGTGCAGTTTCGGAAGACGACGGACTCAATAATGACGTTGCTAGATCGCTCTATGCGCGCGCACGGGCCGTTCTGAATGACGACGGCGCGGCCGCGCGCGTCGATGGTCTTGTCGCTGGCGATCATCATCTCCGCCTTGAGCTTGTCGAACACCATGTCGCGCTCAAACACGATCCACAGCGGCTCCTTCTGCGAGACACGGCAGCGGCAAAAAAGAGGTGTGAGGGGGAGAGAAAGAATATTTAGAGGCAAGGATGGGACGGGAGAGCGTCGAGGAAGGCAACGGAAATCATGCAGTCGACTCTCGCTGTTGACAGGCAAGCATCAGATAAGAGATAAGTCTCGCACGGCGTCGCCTGGCGTCGCACCTGGATGATGCCGTATCGCAGCATGCCCTCCGTCGGGTTCACAGGGTCGTCCGCCTCCGTCGTCACAATGTACAGCTTTCCGCCCTTTCCGCCCGTGGTGCCGTTGGCGAATCCCGGAGCGCAGTTGCCGAGCTCCTGGCGGTTGGTCTTCCAGTCCGCAGACCACCAGCACTTGTCCACGGGATTCGTCGTCCACACGCCCGCAGCACGCTTTCCCGACCCCGGTGCTTCCGCAATACCCAAACGGCACTTCTTGCAGCTTTTAACGGACTTTCCGCTCCCGCTGCTAGACTTGCCGCTGCTCTTGCTGGAATTGCTGGTCTTGTCGCTCGCGCTGCTGCTCTCGACGCTCTTACTGCTGCTCTTCTTGCTGCTCTTATCGCTCTTGCTGCTCTTATCGCTCGTGCTGCTCTTGTCGCTCGTGCTGCTCTTGTCGCTCATACTGCTCTTGCCCTTGCTCTTGTCTTTCTTGCTCTTCTTGTGCGACCTGCCAAGTTCAATCAAGGAATCGCAGTAAGTTTAACTAGCAATGAACTGGGCAACAACGAGGTGGGATGGAATAAACCAACACCACTACGAGCAAGTGAAACTCACTTCAGCTCTCGACGGGTGATCAGGTCCGCAGATGCAACGGTAAGCCTCTCCTCGTAATACCGTGGGGTCTCTGACGCAAGTCCTACTTCCGAGTTGAGGGTCTCAATTTCGCGTTCGCCACCGCTCACTGCCGTGCAGGCACACGCGAGAATGGCGGCGACAAACAGACCGACAGATAAACGAGCCATGGAATACGACATCGGGTTCGTTCAGAGAATCGCGAGAAAGAGCTGGCGAAGTTTTAGAAATTAGTGGCAATGGATGTCGAGGGACGCAGGAAACAGAGTTTTCGCTCCAACTAAGCCTACTGATTCCTAAAGCTTGGCTCAGGGAAACTTGATGTTCGTAGTAATATGCAGACCCGACGGTGAATTTGAATATTGAACCGAGGTGCTGAATTCAGGGTGAAATGGGGCCGAGCAGCGCCCAAGGAGCACAATAGCGCCCGTGGCGCTTCGGTGTGGAAGGTATCAATGCCTGTGATTCGCTGCTTTTGTGTTCCTTTCGCGCCTCGAGGCTACAGACTCACGACTGGACAGCTCGTGAAAGTGCCACCGTGGGCAAATGAACATTTGCGCCTCGGTGATCTGTGGAGTCGGTGGGCAGGCGAGCCCCCATCTTGAAAGGCTTCGAGAGTTCTCATTGGCTACGCAAGCCCCTCCGTTTCCTCGCGCTATTAGAACCCAAGCGCGATCCCGAGTTTGAACTCTGGCTGGGCGAATCGAACCATGTGCTTTGTCACCTTCCTTAATATCACGCTCGCATTAGGCTCGGCTAAGCTTTGATTGAAAGGGAGCCTCGAAACGGTGGTATGTCACACAACACCAGTACAATCACCATGCGCCAAGGGAAGGGTCATGCATACCCGGTATCAGTAGGTACTTGGTTGTTCGTTACCGTCATAGATTCGTGAAGTCCTGCATTTTTATCATGCCGCTAGTGAAATCAATTTGTGATGGGCAAGATTGCTGAATAATTGTAAGGAAAAATCATTTTCCTTACTTCGCGCCCCTGCTTACCGCGTACAAGACCATTCCCGCCAACGGCACCCAACAGTGAAACGTTACCCGCTCGCGACACTCGCCTTGACTACGACTCCCGCCACGGTTCACGATGCGACCCAACCTCACGGTTCGGTTGGTAACCCGCGCTCTGGACCTCCGCCTCGACATTTCCCAACCTCGGCGCTAGGCCCGTAGCGCACCCCATTTTCTCGCGTTACCGTTACCACTCTAGTTCGCTATATATTCTTCGCGCATGCCTTCGCTCATTGGACTGTTTGCTTCGATAATGCAATTCTCGCTCGATCGCTTAATTGCACTCGTAACACTTGGTATTCAGAGCCTACGATCTCCTCTCGGACCGCACCCACACCTTCGCTTCCCCACTATCTCAATTTTTGGGGGGGGGTAGACGTCTCTCAGCGAACAAGCACCGCCGCTCGAAGTGCTCTCTCGTAAGCACGCATGGCCACGACAGAGACTCTCGTCGAGCTTGCCCGACACCCCCGCCATGGCCGAAATTAATCTCGAGACACTGACGCAGGAGCAGCTCGACCGTCTCGTGCGCCAACTCGAAGATTCGGCGCTCGAAATTGCGACACTCACGGCGGAACGCGACTCTGCTTGCCAGCAATCGACGGTGAATGCACCAGCACCAACACACGCACATGCAAATGCACCTGCACACTCGGAGGAGCCAATCGTCATCTTATCAGGCACACCGACACAAAATGACAGCGTGGGACAACGCTCAAGCGTAGCCAGTGATGGCGCCGCTCACTCAATGCCTGGCATGGAGAGGAACAGGGCTGCACCAAGCACACAAGGGCCTCGCGAAGCTCGTCGGCACGTGGAGTTCGCCGCAACGAGTGGCAACAACGACATCGTGGCGCCGATGCCACTCAAGCCACACCGCCCGCCCTGCTTCGATCCTAGCCAACGTGGAGGTCTGACAGTTCAATCGTGGGTCTTCACGATGAACGCCTTCTTCGACGCGAATTACGTCGAGTCGGACGCAGCGAAGTTTCGCTACGCTGTTTCGCTGCTGAGGGGCCCCGGTGGCGAGTCATCGTGACGTCGCCACTCGCCTACGAGCCGCCGTCGCAAGAGGGACGGCCCACGGGTCCAGCCGTCATCTGGAGTTTTTTATGCGAAACCGCCCAGTACAGCACGTGGGATGCGTGGTGCGCAGGGCTTCGGGCGCGCTTCGAGCCGATTGCGGCTTCTATTTCAGCGCGTCAGAGACTGCGTACTTGGCGACAACTCGGGTCGGTCCAAGACTATACGAGCGGTTTTCTTGCATTATGCGAGCACGTCGTCTACATGCACGAAGCGGAGCGGGTGGACCGTTACGTCGGAGGGCTGAAGCCGGACATCTCGCACGAAATTATGCTACGCGGGCTCTCGAACTTCAACGAGATCCTCGCGCTCGCCGAGAAGATCGATATTATACGCCGATCGAGTCTGGGGTTCTACTGCGGACAACGTCCTCGGGGACCGGCCGAGCACGCCACTGTACACGCTGTTGCAGCGAATGCAGCTGCCGCGCCATTTACGGGGCGCTGCTTTGCTTGCAATAGGTCGGGCCATCGCAAGAGCGAATGCCCAGAGGAGCTGAGGCGCCGCGGAGCAGAGCAGGGGAAACACCAGCAGTCAGTAGAAATCAGGCCAACTACTGACGAGACAACCTGCTCGCCCAACCTCACCGACCCTCACCGAGTCACAGTACCGATTCACGCTATCGATCGGGCTTGGATGAATAAGGAGGGTACAGCGACGGATTGCCCAGTACTGATTCACGGGAAAATACAGGGAGCAGCAGTGAAGATTTTTATAGACGGAGGATCAAGTCCCAGCTTAGTTAATACTGCAACCGCACGAAAGCTGCAACTGACACTTAGTCGGTGCTTACCGGAGGTAGATGCACGCTTAGTTGACGGCACGCCGCTGGCCATACGGGAGAAGGTGGAGAGAGTAAAAGTCCGCTGCGGGGGGAACTTCGGGTTTACACAGGAAATGCTCGCGACGACACTGGATGGGCACGACATTTTACTGGGACGTGATTGGCTGTGACGCTACAATCCGCGAATCGACTGGACGACGGGTAGCTGCACTGTGCGAAACTGGGTCGAGCTACCTCGCTGGCAGTCGCCCGAGTCTTCAACGGTCCACGTCAACGCCATCACAATGAAACGGGCTGTCGCCGCTAGAGCTGACGTGTACGCTGTGGATATCGCATTGGTAGGAGAAGTAGAGCAGCCGAGTGATTTTCAGAAACTGCTGGCAGCGGTACTGCCCGAACTACAGGAACTGTTGAAACGGTACCCGGGGATTTTTCCTGACGATTTACCAGAGGGACTGCCACCTCAGCGGGCGCATGATCACCGAATAGAATTAGAACCGGGGGCACAGCCAACTGTACAGCGACAGATTCGACTGACACAGCCCGAGATCGATGAACTGAGGAAGCAACTAGATTACCTGTTAGAAAAGAAGTTCATCCGACCGAGTTCATCGCCGTTCGCCGCACCGATACTGTTCACACAGAAAAAAGACAGAGGATTTCGCATGTGTATCGACTACAGAGCACTGAACAGGGTAACAGTCAAGTCGCGATACCCCATTCCCTGCGCCGACGAACTGATAGATCAACTGCGAACAGCACGGGTCTTCTCGAAAATTGACTTACGAGGAGGTTACCACCATATTAGGGTCGAACCATCAGACTGCGTAAAAACGGCATTTAGAACTAGGTACGGGTCATTCGAGTACACCGCGATGCCATTCGGGCTGACCAACGCACTGGCGCCATTTCAGATGACCATGAACGAGGCGTTTAGGCCGCTCTTAGATAAATGCGTGATAGTTTGCCTCGACGACATCCTAGTCTACAGTCGTGATAAGCAGTAGCACTTAGCAGATCTGGAAGCAGTGTTTAAAGTTTTAGACGAGCACAGACTACTGACCAAGGGTTCCAAATGCGAGTTCTTCCAGGATAGGTTAGAATTTTTGGGGCACGTTATTTCGGAGGCTGGAGTTGAGATCGACCCAAAGAAGCTGGACACGGTAAAAGCGTGGCACCCCCCGACAAACATCACGGAGCTGCAGAGTTTTTTAGGGTTCGTTAATTATGTGCGTCGGTTCGTCCCCAACATGGCACGATTAACTGCTCCGCTGACGGATTTACTACGGAAGGGGGTCGCTTTTACGTGGGGGGAGAACGAGAATGCTGCCTTCTCTGCCCTGAAAAATGTTCTCTGTTCACCGCCCGTACTGCGCATCGCTGACCCACACCGCCCATTCGAAGTGGTAACAGACGCAAGTGACCTCGCCATTGGAGCCGTACTGCTACAGGATTTCGACAACGGTTTACAGCCCATCACATACGAGTCACGAAAACTGCATCTGTCAGAACATTATAGCTCATGC